CAAAATTGTGCGCGCGCGCGCTCTTGCGTCGTCGTCGTCGTCGTCCTCCCTCCTTCCTCGTCGTCGTCGTCGTCGCCGTCGTCGTCTTCTGTCTTTCCTCGTCGTCTTTGGCGTCGTCGTTGTCGCCGTGGTCGTCCTTCCTCCCTCGTTGTCTTCGTCGGCGTCTCGTCGTTGTCCCTCCTATTTCGTCGCCGTCGTCGTCGTCGTCGTCGTCGTCGTCGTGGTCTTCACTCGTCCCTCGTCGTTATCTTCCTCCCTCGTCGTCGTCGTCCGTCGTCGGCGTCTCGTCGTCGTCCCTCCTACTTCGTCGCCGTCGTCGTCGTCTTCGTCGTCGTTGTCATCGTCGTCGTCTTCCCTCCTTCCTCGTCGTTGTCGTCGTCGGCGTTTCCGTCCTTCCTCCTTCTTCGTCGTTGGCGTCGTCGCCGTCTTCCCTCCTCCATCGTCGTTGTCGTCGTTGTCGCCGTCGTCGTTTTTTCTCCTCCCTCGTCGTCGTCTCCGTTGGCGACGTCGTCGTCGTCTTCGTCGTCGGCGTCGGCGTCGTTGTCGTCATCGTCGGTGTCGTCGTCGTCGTTGTCGTCGTCGAAAACATTGGAGACGTCGTCGGTGTCGTCGCAGTCGCTGTCGGCGACGCCGTCGTCGTCGATGTCGCTGTTGTCGTCGGCATCGGTGTCGTGGCCAAGTGCCACGCAGTACCTACCGTCACGGTCTTGTCTGAAGATGTCTTGCGTCCAAGTTGCGGGTGGGAGGGTGGGATGTTTGCACGAGCAATGGAGAGGACAGCTTCAAGACAGTCGAAGTGGAATTGCACCACGTAGACTGCGCCAGATGATGCACCGCGTAGATTGCACCACGTATATTGCACATATTTTGCACCACAACATAGATTGCACTACTTAGATTGCATCGTATACGTTGCATAGCATATATTGCACCGCGTAGATAGGACAACCGCTTGCGCCACATCGATTCTCCTTGCAAATCGACTCTACATCCCACGCCCCGGAAGTATTGGCACCCCTTGTCGCATTGCACTTTCAATCGTCCGTCCGAAATATGAACTCATACCATCTCAGCCCAACCGGGATCGACCCCCCCCCGCCATCCTCCGCAAAACATACTATGCGCGCACAGTCGTTTGTCACAAAAACATAAGTTGTCAAGAACCCCTTGCCAAAAACGGGACGAAAAGGTGCACGCGCGGGTCGTCGCGCGTGCATGCCGAAATCCTTCAAGAACCTCCGGTTTCGCAGCGAATTCAAAATCGAATGTCCAAGAAACAGAAACGGACACATAGTTTCGCAACAACGATTTTCAATAAAAGCGCGCGCGCGCTCTTCCGAAATCTTGAGGAAACCATGGTTTCTTGTATAAACAAAGATTTTTCAAAACATGCTACCAAACGGGCTTCGCGCGCGCATGTCAAAATCGTTCGAACGCCGTTGCGCGCGTGCCGTCGCGAAAATCCTTCGCGACAGTTTGGGCGACATGCGCGCGCGTCGTCGCGCGCGCATGCCGGAATCCTTCAAAAACCTCCGGTTTCAAAAAGACTTCAAACCGACTGCCGAAACAAAATGTATAGACACATGGTTTCGCAACACCAATTGTTTATATATAAAAAACCGCGCGCTCTTGCGAATTCTCCGGGGAACCACTTGAATCATCTTCTTATGAAGAAACAATGATAAGGGATTTCTGCCAAACGGACTTCTCGCGCCGCGCGCCGACATCATTCGCGCGCCCTTGCGCGCGTGGTGGCGTGGTGGTGGGGGGCGACCAGCGTCAAATGATACCGCACGGGCCACTCGCGCGCGTCGGCCGCGCGCGCGTGCCGAACTCTTTCCACAACCTTCATCGGCGACGCGAGGGCGCTGTCATCGTCGTCGGCGTGATCAGTATCCGCGCCGTCACTGGCCATGGTCGTCGCTGTCCGCATCACCGCCAACATGGCCACTATCATCACCATGTCTCCTTTTGTCGAAATTGCCATGATACCGCGCCCGCCCAAGTTGCCGACTCGCACTAAAGTGCCCGCTGGGATGTGCCCGGCGGTGAGAGCCGCCGCGGCTGCGTCGGCCGCGCCAAACTGCACGCGCGCGCGCGTGCGCGGGCTGTCGCGGGCGCAAAGATGCACCAGTCAGCGCCAAACACTCATCGCAATCGCCGCCGCACGAGGTTTGCAAACCAACTTGCGAGCGGGCGGGCGGGGCGCTTACGCGAACAGTGGAGTGGGCAACTTCAACTTATTGAATAATTTTCCTGTCCAAAAAATAAATAAACTCCCCCCCGCGGGGTCACCGACCCCCATTTCGTATAGCAGTGTGCGTGCGATTCTGGCCTATCGTCCGCCCAATGTATGAACTCATACCATCCAAGCCGAACTGGTATCGACCCCCCATCCTCTGCAAACAAATACAACGCGCGCGCAATAAAAAAAAACATCAGTTTCCAATCACATTTTCACAACAAATCAGACGAAAGGCGCACGCGCGCGTCGTCGCGCGCGCATGCCGACATGCTTCACAAACCTGCGGCTTCGGAAGGATCTCGAAATCGAATGTCCAAACAACAGATCAAGAACACATGGTTTCGCAAAGCGGATTTGTTTCTATCAAAAACGTGCGCGCGCTCATCCGAATTGTTTTGTCTTACATTGGTTTTCAACATCTTCAGAACGTGCTACCGGACGGGCTGCGCGCGCGAGCATGACGAAACCGTTCGAACGCCAATGCGCGCGTGCTGTCGCGAGCACCTTTTTTCCCAACAAATGTGACGAAGTGCGCGCGCGCGTCGTCGCGCGTGCACGCCGCCATCCTTCATACCCTTGCGGTTTCGAAACCAGTTCAAAACCGAACACCCAAAACAACAGTTGTTTAAACAAAAAAACATGGCTTCGCAACGTCAGGTTTCAAAAAAACTTGCGCGCGCGCTCTTGCGATTTTTGGAGAAAAAAAAAACATCGGTTTTCAAGTTTTCATGGGATTCAGCCAAACGGGTGTCTGGCGCCGCATGCCGACAACACTCGCACGCACCTGCACGCGAGATGGGGGGACACGATCCGCTGCAAATAAAACCGCGCGGGCCACTCTCGCGCGCTGGCTGCGCGCACAGGCCGGACTTTTTCCGCAATCTTCATCATCGACTCGAGAACGTCGTCATCGTCGTCGGCGTGATCAGCATCGGCGCCCGCACTGGCCGCGCCTTCGTCCGTGCGAGCATCGTCACCAGCGTCGCCACTATCATCATCGTGTCATTCGAAGTCGGCGTTGCCATCATACCGCGCCCGCCCAAGTTGCCGACTCGCAGTGAAGTGCCCGCTGAGATGCGCCCAGCGGTCAGCGCTACCGCGGCCGCGTCGGCTGCGCCAAACTAGCTGGCCGCTGCGTGGCGGCCGCAGAGAGATGCACCAGCCAAGGCCACGCATGCATCGCAATCACCACCGCATGGGTACTGCAAACCAACTTGCGGGTGGGTGGGTGGGATGTTTGCAAGAGCATGTGAGTTGACAACTAACGGCGGACAAGAACTAATTCTCCGTTCTAAAGACAAATAGGTTCTACCACCCTCCCCCCCATCGGGGTTAAAGACCTCCCGGGGATCGATGCAAAACGCATGGGAGTCTGACCCATCGTCCATCAAAACTGTGAACTCATACTATCCCAGCCAGGCAGGTATCGCCCCCCCCCCATCATCTGCAACAAAAGCTATGCGCGAACACTCATTTATCAACACGTAAAAGTGTTCAAGAACCCCTTGCACAACATAATACGAAGTGTGCACGCGCGTGTTGTCGCGCGCGCGTGCCGAAATTAGTGGGAAACTTTCGGGCCCAGAAGGATTTCGAAATTGAATGTCCAAGCAACTTCTTTATATTTAAAACATGGTTTCGCAGCGCGGATTTTCCAAACAAGAAAAACATGCGCGCGCTCTTGCGAATTCTGAAGAAAACCAAGAGTTGTTACAGATGTTTTAGGAAAGCCCACCAAACGGGCTTCGTGCGCGCATGCCGGAATCGTTCGAACGCCCTTGCGCGCGTGCTGGGGTGGCACGGTCCGTGTCAGATAATACCATTTGAGCCACTCTCACGCGTCTGTCGCGCGCGCATTTCAAATTCCAGTCAGAACCTTCATTACCGACGCGAAGACGCCGTCATCGTCGTCGGCGTGATCGGCATCGGCGCGGGTCACTGGCCGTTCCGTCGTCGCTGTCAGCATCGCCACCAACATCGCTACTATCACCATTTTCATCATCATAATCATCATCATCATCCTCATCATCATCGTGTCTACACTTGTCGACGTTGCCATGATACCGAACTGCCCAAGTCACGGACTCGCACTCAAGTGCTTGGATGTGTCGAGCGGTCAGCACCACCGCGGCCGCGTCGGTCGCGCCAAACTACCTGGCCGCTGCGCGCGCGCGCATGCGCGGGCTGTCGTGGCCGCAAAGATGCACCAGCCAGCGCCGAGCACTCATCGCAATCGCCGCCGCATGAGGTTTGTTAACCAAGTTGCGGGTGGGTGGGTGGGATGTTTTGCGCGAGCAACGGAGTGGACAACTCAGCGCGAACAGAAACAAATTGCACACCGTATATTGCACCATATAGGTCGGGCCAAACCAATGGCACCACATAGCTTGTCACATAGGTTGCACAATACATATCGCTGAAAACACGCGTTCGCAGAGACCAGCGATATACATATATATGTGTATGTATACACATATATATATATACATATATACATATAGATATATCTATATGCATACATTTACACATACTTTATTTTTGCCACTCTCTCTATATACATATATGTGTGTATGTATAGATGTGGCTATAAGGATGTATGCCCCCGATGGTCTTGAAACATAGATCTACACTGCATCCTTGGGCCTCTGGGCCATCAGTTCCCTCGACGGTAATACGTTTGAATTCCAGCCTCACGGTTGAGAAGGCGGCGGAGAACGACGATAAAGGTGATAGTAATGACGACGACGACGATGTCCTCGTAGCGGGCCGAGCGGGGCACCTCGTACGCTGGGATCGTCTGCATCCAGGGAACCCACGTCTGCTGGTCGGCATCGTAGAAGTAGTCGAAGAGGTTGCTCCTGACATCCACGCCTTCGAACACTGCTTCCCGAGGCGGGGGAGGGCGACCAGGCGGGGGCAGGGGGGAGGATAGAAGAACAAAACCAGCATAAACATTAACTATTGGAGGTCCGCGCGGATAGCTTGGATCTGCGCTGAACCCCGCTCCCTGGCTCGCGGAGCGCGCAAGTGGCGGCGCCGGAGGCGCCGCCAAGGGAGACCAGGCGCAGATCCAACAAATCCGCGCGGAGCGTCGATAATGCTCATGCCGTTGTTTGTTCTTTGAGGAGGGCGACCGGGCGGGGGCAGGGGGGAGGAAGAGGAGGGAAGACCAGGACGAAAAAAGGGGGGGAGGAGGGGAAAGAGAGGGGAATGGAAGGGAGGAGGGGGGAGAGGAGGGGAGGAGGGGCGGGAAGAGGGAGGAGGGGAGGGAGGAGAGGAGGAAATGAACGCAACGAGGGAGGGGACGGGGAGGAAGGAGGGGGAGAAAATGGAATGGGATACACCGACAGAGGGGGAGAACATGGAATGGGAGAGAGGAGGGGAGGGAGAGAGGAGGGGAGGGAGGAGGGGAGGAGGGGAGGGAGGAGGAGGGAGGAGAGGAGGAAATTAACGCAACGAGGGAGGGGGCCGGGAGGAAGGAGGGGGAGAGAATGGAATGGGATACGCCGACAGAGGGGGGGAGCGAGGGGGAAAAAAAAACGGCCCATGCAACATCGCGGATGGTCTGTTCTACGGCGTGTGGCCCAGGGAGCGGTGCCCTGCCCCTGCCGCGCGCGCGCGCGCCCGCCGAGCTCCCTCCGCGGGCGCGGGCCCAACGCCCCGCGCGGCCGCTCGCCGCGCTGCTGCGCCGCGCAGGGTCCGCGGGCGTCGTCGTCGTCGTCGTCGTCGTCGTCGTCGTCGTCGTCGTCGTCGTTCGCCGTCGTCGTCGTCCTCGTCGTTCGCCGTCGTCCTCGTCGTCGTCCTCGTCGGCGTCGTCGTCGCCGTCGTCGTTCGCCGCCCTTCCCGTCCTCCCCGTCGCTCGTCGTCGTCGTCGCCAGCGATCGCCAGCCGCGCTTCCGCGCCGCGCCTGCGGCGCGTCCCGCCCCGCCGGCGGGCGCCTCCCGTCGGCCGCGCGCCGGGAGTGCCGCGGGCCCCCCGTCTCGTGCGGCCGCGCCCCGGCCCAACTGGGCAGCGGCGTGCGGGGCGGCTGCAGCCGCGGCGCCCGCACGGACACCCGAACGTATCGGCTTCTCTCGCTGTGTTGTTGCGCGCGCGCGCTCTCTCTCTATATATTTTTATGTATATATATATATATATATATATATATATATATATATCCGTTTTCTCACTCTCTCTCTCTCTCTCCGTTCTCTCTCCGTTCTCTCTCTCTCTCTCTCTCTCCGTTCCCTCTCAAGCCACCACTGCGGCCGTACACCTACCCTTGACAGGCGCCAGCTCGCCGCTGAATTCTCCAACCTTTCTGAGAAGGGTTGAATTCTCCAACCTTTCTGAGAAGGGTCGTGAGAGCTTGGCCCGCAACGCGCAAGGCGAATTCCCCAGCTGCGCATGGCCTCCCAAGACGTACCTCGCCTCTGGGACAGAGCGCGAGGTAGCGGTGACTACAGCTCAGGCGTCAGCCAGCCGTTCGGCTGATTGATTGCCCACCCTCCTCCCAATGTGTTTCTCACTTCCTCCACGCTGTGCTGAGCAAATGCTCATAATGCTGTATTCTCGCTATATTTGTGTTTGTGTTCTCTCTACATATATACATACATACATATGTATGTATATCTCTCTCTCTCTCTTTCTGTTTTGTTCTCTCTCTCTCTCTCTCTCTCTAGGCTCCACGTGTGAGTGACCCTAGGCAAGGAGTGGCCTGTGGTGCGCAGCTTCTAGGGGACACAAAGAGGCCACACCCAAGCGCGCAGGCCGCTGCTGTCGCACCGCATTCAGCGATCGGCATGCCCCATTGGGCCCGCACCAATGGCCAATGGGTCACTTCGGCGAAAGGCCCCCCTGACGTAAGTATAGCCGACTCTCTTCGGCGGCGAGCGAGGAGGGGGAAGCAAGAAGGGGCGGGCCTTCTCAGGAGTCTCGGAAGGGTCCCGGCCGTCCGAGAAGTTCTCCGAGCCTTCCCCGAAGACGCACAGAACTTCTCGGCGCGAGAGCACCTGAGAAGTCCCGCCGCCTTCTGGGAAGGCCGTTTCCGTCTAACTCTCCCCCCCTCGCTCGCCGCCGATCTCGGCGGCGGACAACCCCGTCCTTTAGTCAGCCATGAACCCTTCCGTGGAAACGGCCTGGGACCGAAACCGACGGGCCCGGACCCGCAAAAACGACGGCCGCGGCGCCCTCGCGCGAACCGAAAGCGGGGCCAATTCGCCAATCCACCTGCCGGGGCAGGAGGTCTGCCAACCTCCGGCGATCTGCCCCTCCCCATCCCTCCGACGATCGCTCTGACAACCCGACGACGATCTCCCCCTCCCCATCCCTCCCTCCCCCGCGGGGGAGGCGGCGCCCGGCCCACGATCTCCCCCTCCCCATCCCTTCCTCCCCTCCCGACGACGATCTCCCTCTCCCTCTCCCCCTCCGACGACGGTCCGTCAACCTCCGGCGATCTCTCCCTCTCCCCATCCCTCGGGCGCCCTCGCGCCCTCGCGCCTGCCAGCACGGTGTCCTCCTGCACGGGCGGCATCGCCAGGTGCGACCCGGCGAGCCTGCCCTCGAGCGCGTCGTGGCACTCCTGCTGTGGATGCCACGGCAACGGACCCCCTGACAGTCCTAGCATTGCATTCAAAATGTGCTTAATAAAATGAGGGACAATTGCTCTAAACATGTTTTCAACATGTTAGCCTGCACCCCGGGCCCCGCCCACTCTGGCCGCCTGAGGCCCCGCCCGCCTGTGCCCTGTCTCCCTGACTAAAGCTGTGCGCAGCCCGCCCAGCTTTTAGCGGAAGAGGTGCGCTCTCGCCCCGCCGACCCAAACATGTGTTCCACATGTTTTCACACGTGCAACACATGCTTTAGACACCTGGAAACCATTTGGCAACACGCTTCCTCTGGTGGATGCCACGGCAACGGACACCCCGGCAGTCCTAGCACTCCATTCAAACTATCTTTGATTAGATGAAGGACGATTGCTCTAAACATGGTTTCAACATGTTTTCACACGTGCAACACATGTTTTAGACACCTGGAAACCATTTGGCAACACGCTTCCTCTGGTGGATGCCACGGCAACGGACACCCTGGCAGCCCTAGCACTCCATTCAAACTATCTCTGATTCAATGAAGGACGATTGCTCTAAACATGGGTTCAACATGTTTTCACACGTGCAACACATGTTCCCAGACCCCCGACGTAATGTTTTTTTCATTACGTCGACCCCCATAGGTCCCGACCCTTTGCCCATGACCGGCTTTGCATCCTGAGTCGTTTTTTGACGCTCCCGAGGCCCGGTGAGGGCCCCCGGAGGCCGAAAATTAGGAAAAACCTCCCGTCATGATTTTTTAATTACTCGAGGGGGTCTGGGTTTTAGACACCTGGAAACCATGTGGCAACACGCTTCCTCTCCACTGACCGTCCTCCACATCGCTCCCGGGGCTCTCCGGGGGGGGCCGGGCGGGCCCGCCCGCGGCCCCGCCGCGGGGGCATCGGAGGACGGAGGCTCGAGGCTCGAGGGCTCGAGGCTCGAGGCTCGAGGGTCGAGGACGGACGGTCGAGGCTCGAGGCTCGAGGCTCGAGGCTCGAAGATCGAGGGTCGAGCCTCGAGGCAGAGGACGGAGCTTAGAGGGTCGGGGGTCGGGGTTCGAGGTTCGGAAGATCGAGGGTCGAGGCTCAAAGATCGAGGGTCGAGCCTCGAGGCAGAGGACGGAGCTTAGAGGGTCGGGGGATCGAGGCTCGAGGTTCGAAAGATCGACGCTCGAGCCTCGAGGATCGAGGGTCGAGCCTCGAGGCAGAGGACCGAGCCTTAGAGGATCGGGGGTCGGAGGTTCGAGCATCGAGGACGCTCGAGGAAGAGGGGGGGGTGGCGGGGGCGGGCGCGCCCGCGAGCGCCGCGCTCGCCTCTCTGACGCGTGCCTGCAGGGGGGGGGAGGGAGAAACAGACCCCCTTGCGGGTTGCAAGGAGACGCGACGGAGGCATGTCGGGAGAGGTCTGCTTCTGGGGGGGCCCCTTGCCTGGCCCTGGGACCGCCAAGACGACGATCCGAGATGTAAAGCGTGTCCCCAGGGAGGGGATCGAGACCTTCGGTAGTTCACGTGGAAAGAAAGCACTACAGTCAACCCGGATAGTAAGGATGCGCGATAAGGATGCAAGGGCCTTGGACGCCCATTTCGAAGCTTTTCGAGCGGAGCGCGGCCAGCGAAAGCGGCGAAGGATGGACCGAGGAGGCAAGGATGCAAGGGTACCCTTGGGAAGGTTGCCCATCCTTACTACGCGGGTTGACTGTATGTCTGATGTCCGGGACAGAGGAGGGGCGGCAGGAGAGGGAGAGAGGGGATGGAGAGTAAGCGGGGAGTGGGCGGAGGAGTGCAGGGTGGGGCGGTGACAATATTACGGGGGAGAGGAAAGGAGGGGTCGGTCGGTCGGCCGGTCGATCGAGCAAACGGACTAATCAGAAGACGCAGTGCCGTCTGGAGCAGCATATCTGCAGCAAGAGTGCGGTATCCAACCTAAGAAGAATGCCGATAGTGCTTTTAACCGCCCTACCTGGTGGGCAAAAGCAGTGCCCTCACCCTCCCACCTTTTGCCTCCCTCCCCCGCCCAACTTCAGACAACAGCTCCGTGGGCTGGACTAAATATTGGCGATGCGAGAGGGCAAAAAGAAAAGGGGGGACAAGGGGAGGGCACACCCGTAACATTTCTAGGAGCCCTACACGGCAGAGGATGGTGCAGCCAACCTCCCTCCTGTCCCTCCCCCAAATACGTGGTCGGAAATACATTGGAGATGGCGGCGAGCGCCCACCAAAGGGGGCAGCACTACTGCGACGCCATGCGCACGAATGGCGGGCATGCCTGGGCGACGCGCTCACCTCGCACGTCCAGGGGACAGACATCATGGGAGATGCGGGAGAAGCATTGGAAAGCAGGCCCGCGAAGGGATGGCGAATGGGGGCGACCCATGTCGAGGTCTGATTAAGCACCGGCGCGCAATGCGGGATAGCAAGCAAAAAGCTAGAGTCGAGACGGGAGGAGGGAAGATGGCCAGGGGGAGGGGGAAAGGGACGAGAGAAGAGGAAAAGGGGGATAGGAAGTATGACAAGTCGGAGGGGAATGGTGAGGGACGTGACCCAAATTGAAGAGGACGACACATACGGAAACGAACAAGGAAGTGGCGGAGGAGAAACGGGTTTGGGAGGATGCGAAAGGAGGTCGAGTGTAGAGGAGGAAGCGGAGGATGCGACAGGAGTGCGAACGTAATGAGGAGGAGCATGGACATGAAATAAAAAAGGGAGGGCTGAATGATCAGGAGGCGGGGGTAACAATAATATGATCAGGCAGAGGAGGAACATGAATACAACGAAAATGATGAGAATCGTGGGGGGGGGGGGGTAAGGGAGAGGATATGGCTGGAAGGGAGTGAGGGGGCGGAGAAAACGGAGGAACAGAACAGACATGAAGAGCAGCATGACGACCAAACGCGGAATTATCGAATGAGGATGAAAAACAAAAAGGGTAACGATCGGATGATCAGGAGGTAGAAGAGGATGGGGTGAGGAACGTGAGGATGGAGGAGCAAGAGAAGGACAGTGATGAGATGGGAAGGGAGAAGTGGAGAAGCAGCAGCAGGGGCCGTCGAGGAGGGGGGAGCGAGGAAAAAGGGAGGAGCAAGAGGGCGATCTGAAGGGAGCATGGTAAGACCGGAGGAGCAGGGATAGAAGTATGCAAGGTTTCTACCCCAAGTCCTTGTCCAAGAAGGCCCACACCCACTCCGAAAACATCCGGCGGCTGTTCGAGTCGCACGTCGCGCCCAGGGACCAGATGCAGCTGAATATGAACAGGGGAGTTATCTTGGGCACCAGCTCCGCGATCTCCTCCTTGAAAGCGAGCTTGGGCCTCAGCTCGGTGGGATGGTACTTCGCGAAGTAGCAGTCCAGCAAGCGGAACAGCGATTGGATGAGGTTATTGTCCTGTGTCTGCACGCACTCCTTCAGCTTCTTGCGGACGAATTGCACCGTGGGCGATATGATCTCGTTACAGAGCTTCTCCAGCTGCTTCTTGATCTTTGGCTGAAAGGAAAATGTGTCGGGCAGGCTTTTCAGCCAGGAGTCGATGAACACCTGGTCGCCCAGACTCTGTGGCTCCATGTAGATCATTCCGCAGCGGGACACCGTGGCTGGGGAGGCAACTTCGAGATCCTCCACCTCGAACTGCATCCGCATCTGAGCACTCAGCGCGATGATTTCGCCGCTCACAAGGCACAACTTCTTGTTATCGTCCAGCACCGTGTTCATACTCTCGATCCAGAGCGCGTCAACCGGACCGTCGAACATGACCCAATGGTGGTCGGGATTCGCCTGATCCCTCTGCGCGTTGCGGATCTCCTCGGCCGCTATCCCGTCGGACCACTCGCGAGTTATCTCGTCGAAGGAACCGTAGAGCTGGTTCTGCGTGATCGCCTTGGGGTTCAGGCAGTGGACGTGCACCTTCTGGTAAGGGCTCGACTTGTCCTCGGTCACCAGGGCGGTGCAGGCCCTCTGCAGGGTGCGGTAGCAGCACGTCTTCCCGCCACCGGTGGGGCCCACGAGCATCATGCCGTGCCGCACCTGTCGGGGATGGACAGACCTCTCTTTAGTAAAACGTGGTTTAGTGAAAACGACCTCGGGCCCAAACCTGGCGGGCGCAAGCCTGGAAAATGACGGCCGCGGCGCCCTCTCGAGAACCGAAAACGGACAATTCACTAATCGACGTGTCAGGGTAGGAGGTCTGTCCAACCCCGCACCTGGATCATGTCGAACAGCTCGAACTGCTTCTTGATGAAGTAGTCGGTGGGCTGCAGGTTCTGCTGCTCGGACTGCGTCTTGCACTCCTCCTCGAGGCGGCCGTAATCCATCTGCGGGCGCTCCACGCCGGGGAAGAGGTCCTGATTGAGGTCCGGAATGGGGGGGGGGGTGTAGTCGCGAAGCGGGATCCTTGACCTCAGGTGTCGTGATTTTCCGATTGTAGGGAGCCCACAAAGGACGTACGCGCCCAACTATGTACATGAACACGGCCCCTCGATCCGCGAGACCGGCCGCGTTATACGAACATTTGCGCAATGCGTACTCTCGAAGCCAGCGTGGATTCATGTACGTGTACGTTCTTTTGTCGCTCCTGAGATTGCAGGGTCCACACAAGTCCTGGCCCAAAATGTTCATCCCAAATCTGTTTGACGATCCCAGGACCGAAACGGGCCTCCCGATGTCGAATTCGGTGCAAAGACGTTGGCATTTAGCGAAACCACGGAGTAGGCGGTCTAGGGTCTAATTAGGGGTGGTGCGAAAAGGGGTGCGTTCTGCGAGGGCGACCGGCTTGAAGGACAAAAGCCAACGAGGTCTTGGAGGGCCCAAAGGCACCTTTTTATGGAAGGCGGACGCCTCCTCAAACTCGACGCCACCACCCCTTCTGAGAACACGGAGAGACTTCCTTCTCCTTCCCCTCGGGACTCCCTCGCGTTTCCCCTCCTGCGCCCTCCCTCCTGCCCCCGCCCTCCATCCCCCATCGGGGCGGGGCCGCGCCGAGGTCCGAGATGATGTTCTCGAAGAGGGGCAGGTCGTCCTTCAGGAACTTCGGCACGTTGACGTCGCGCAGCGCCCTGTCGCGAGCACGGCAGGACAGTCGTACGCCCCTCCCTCTCCCCTCCCCCCTCCTCTCCCCCCTTCACCCCCCTGAAGGGAGGAGGGGGAACGACACTTGCCAGCAAGAGAAGGGCGACCACGAACAAGAGACGCGAACGAGAACCCGCCCGAGGGGTAAGGGAAACCCGCTGCTCCTCAAGGAAACCATGATATCCGAGCGCCACACAGCATGTCAGTGCCAAGCCGACGCAAGCAGAAAGGGGCAAGAAGCAAGAACGAGGACGCGAGAGGGGGCGGGAGGCAAAACACCCTGGCCGGCAGGGCCCAGAGCAGATGCAGTCTCCGCGGCGACTGCCGAAGGTGAGAGGAGGGGGAGGGGAGTTCTCTGGTAGGCCGATGGTTCTCTTCCCCACGCAATTATGCGGCCTGGCGGGCGCATACTCTATATGCCCCTTGGGGCCCTCTTACTCTTTTCAATCCTCCTCGCCTTACTGTCTCGCCTGCGCCCACCAGGCTTGAGTAGTTTGTTTGCTATCGGCCCAGTTCGGCATTCGAAGCGTCTTTTCTCTTGCATCCTAACGCTTCAGGCTCCGTCCTTGAGTTAGCGCAACGTCAAACAAGGTGGAGGGGGACCGGGTGGCAGGATTACACGGGGGGCCTGTGTTGGGGCGGACGGGATGGGGGCAGGGGGAGCAGCGCGCGCGGGTGGGCGGGGGGGGAGGCGGAGGGATGAGCGGGAGGCGGCAGGCAGAGTGAGAGCGGGAGGCGGACGGCGTGGAGGAGGAGGATGACGAGGGGGGTGGCTGGCCAAAGGGGAAGAATTAGGACGAGGAGGAGGAACAGGAGGAGGACGAGGAGGAGGAGGGGGTGGAGCAGAACGCGGAGGAGGAGCAAGAGATGGACGGAGAGGAAGCGGAGGATTGGAATGCCCTCGAAAGGGGAAGTGCACAGCACTAAAGCCGCGCGCCTCCGCGGCCGGCGGGCGCCCGCGCGCGGGCGCGCGGCCGGCCGCGGGGCGCTCACGGCGCGGGTGGCGCACGGCGCCAGCGGGCCCCCCGCAAGCCGGCAGCATGGGAATAGCTGGACAGCTCCCCCCCCCACGTACTGTCGGCCGGAAACGGCCACGCCGGAAACGCCCGGCAGCCGACAAAACGGGGGGGGGGCCAGTCCAAGCCAAACCCACGTCACCCACCCCAGGGGCCCGGCCCGCCACGACACGACACGACGCGACACGACAGGGGGTCGAAACGAACGACGCGACACGAAGACACGACACGGACGAACGACGCGACAGAGACGAGCCGCCGGTCCCGCCCCAGGGCGGCGAACGCTGGGGGGCACCAGCACCGCCCTGGGGGAGGCCACGGGACCTGGCGACCCCCCCGGGGGAAGGAAACCGCACTTTGGCGGCGTCCCCCCGGGTGCGAGGGCTTTTCGCCCCTCGGGCCCGGCGCTCCCCGCCTGCGCCAGGAGGACCCTAGGGTCCCGACCCCTCCCCTACGGGAGGGGCCCCCTCGGGGCAGAGGAAGCGGAGGACGAGGGGGAGGACGAGAAGGAGGAGGAGGAGGAGGAGGAGGAGGACGAGGAGGAGGAGGAGGGGGAAACAAGCGTAATTTGGGAAAGCCAGTGCCAACACCGAAGTACCCACAATGATCCGCACCCCACTGGCAAGCGGAAGCCTGACGAAAACACGCAACAGCATACGCAGGAGCGCGGGCGCAACGGCAAGGGGAAGGAGGTGAACACCAGGACCCAAAAGGAATCGAAGGCGGCGAAGGTACGAAAACGGCGCCTGTGCACCGTGCCATGTCTGGATTCCCTTCAGGCCCCGCTCCAACGCAGTATGGTGCGCATTTTCTTGTTCAACTTTGGGGGACCTATAGCTGTGCACCGTGCCATTCCTGGGTCGAGGGCCGACGACGCCTCGTGAAACGCCAACGCGGTACGGTGCGCACAAGTCCTCCGCGGAGAAGGGGCCGACGCCGACCAGCAGAATCACCTCGACCAACATGTGGTTCTGTAGTTGCCGCTGGTGTCGCGCGAGGCCTCGCCGGGACTGTCCACGCCGAAGTCCGAACGGTTCTGTTCCTCGTCGGGCAGGAGGGCATACTCAAAAGCAAAGTCCAGATCACCCTCGTCTCCGGAAGCTGCGTGCGGGAGCGGGGGCACCACCAGGACTACGGGTGTAGGGCCCATTGCGGTCAGCGTAACCTGCGCCAAGTGAAAACAAACAACAACGATGACATACCCCAGAAGACGCTGGACGGCCTTAGCAATAGCAGCCCGCACATGCAGATGATTCGGCGCAGCCAACGTACCAAGCATAGCAGTCGTTTGCAGGGGGGCCTCCTCGTGGATAGCAAATTGATTCTCCAATCCAAATGCAAACGTCGTGTGGGTAGACGGGCAGAAAGCCGATACCCGCATGCAGTCAGAATGCGCACACGGCTCCTGGACGACGACAACCAAGGCGGCAACATGAGCATCGACATCAGCAAGGGCTGCCCGGGTGCCGAAGCAAACGTCACAAACGTGTGGTTGGCCATTCCAAGCCTGGTCATCACCATGTCAGATATCTCCACATCGTGCGGAGGCCTCGCGCAGCGCCTGAAGCCTTACCCCAGTGACACAATCGAAGGCCTCATTATTGCTCAAGTTGGCCAGCTGCTGGCAACCCTCCCAAAGCTGGTCCTATCCTCTCGAACCATGAGCGTGCAGGCTGGTCACAACTTGTGAACATCAGCCGGCGAGATACCTTCACGCAGGACGCGGCCCAGAGCAACGCCGATGTAACTGCGGGTGTCCCCGAACACGTATTCCACAACATTTTGAAACCCACTCGGCCGCCCCGTGGGCAGGGACCTAGCGGGAATCTGGCAAAACCGCTCATGCATGGACGAGATATGAGCCTTTTGTGATTACGACCCTTCTGGACGAAACTCGTCAAATTCACCTCGCACAGCAATGGGGGAAAGGGGGAAGGAGAGCGACGCATCCTGCACCACAGTAAACTGCTTCTCGCTCCGTTTCCCAAGCAACAGAATCAGAGGCCGATTCCTATCCGCCGTGCTGCGACACTCGAGCCGCGCGTGTCAAGAAAACGCGCGATGGCCCACGGGGACTTTACGCAAGTCATACGCTTCTGTAAAAAGTTTGTTTCGCGTGTTATAACCAACATGCTCCCAAGCCGACCAAATCGGCGTCGACCGCCGCGCAGTCGGTCTTGTGGTCCTCAATGGCCGCGAGCCAGATGCAATCACCAATCTGGACAGACACTTCTGCCGGCGCAGAGCCGAACATGTAAACGCCAGCCGTCTGTTCCGCAGCGGGCAAGCACTGAGCAACACAAGCGCAAGGAATCACTGCGGGAAGAGAACGGCGTGCTCGCCGCGGACCCAGCCCGCGAACATGCCGAATATGCTTACCATGGCGGTTGTCTTGTCTTTCGGAACACGAGGCGGAATCAAAGGCGTAGCCCTACGAAATGCGTTGCCGCTGCAGCGTTCCACAGCGCCTGCGGTCGCATTGCACATGCGATGCGCAGCGTGAGCACGCCGCTGTGAGTCCTTGAACTTTAACTGGTAACCCTTCTTCACGGAACCCCGAACTCCGTCGAGCTTGGAAGAATCCCAGCGTTCCACGGCGCAGCGAGTATACATATTCGAGAAGCCAACTGGTTGAACGACTTCCCCATGGACCACGTATCCGGCGACGAACACGAAGGTGATAACAGAAATAATAAACGAACCCAAGCCCGCGCCATGCAAACTTGAAGTAAGAAAGGTCAGCGTTGACCTTTTGGTCGCGCGGGGCGGCAACAAAGCGAGAGGGATGGCGCCAGCCAGAATGGCTACAGCGGAGGAAGATGAGGGGGGCGATGACGAGGGGGAGCGCGCTGAGGAGAATAAGGAGCAAGAGAAACGTCAGAATGATCATGCGGACGAAAGCCGCGCATTCGGAAGGGCGCGTCGGCAAACTTGAGGTCGCGCCGTTGACAACCGAGTGGACAAGGAAGGCGCGCGCGAGAAACCGAGCTACTGGCGGAGAAGGAAGGGCGATTAAAGCGCGGGCGACGGGCGACCCAACCCATAGGGGCGCTCAGGAGTCTTGCGCCGCTTCGCGCAATTCAGTAGCCGAGTGCTGCCGGGGCCGACCACGTCGGAGACGAACTGACCAATCCCGGCGATTCTCTTGACGCACAGCCTTCCCCGCCAGCGACTGGCCCCCGCGCGCCGCAGCGTCGTCGTGAAAACTCTCGTGCCGGCGGGGGGGCAGTCAGACAGCGGTGTTTCGCGCGCTCAGATCAGAAGATCCACGTTTCTCACGCTGGACGAAACGACTGCGATATACTGCGTGCGCAGTCGCAGTCGCAAATATATCGCTTGTGTTCTGCGCGCCCTGCGTAGCCAAAGCGGGCCCGACGAATGCAACCACTTGCTGGCGGCGCAGCTTGAAGAAATGCGCCCGTTCTGGCGGCTCAAACTCGACGCGCGAGATACAGGTTTCTGCAACTTCGTGATCACGCCCGAAATGTCTCCCAATTTTCAACGTAGCTCGCCCCGACAAGGCGTCGCAAGATGCCCAGCCTCCGAAGTAGACAGCACCCCTCACGTCGTTGATGGGTTTGCACGTCGGTCCACTGACCTCTCCGATGGCAGGTGCGTTTTCTTCCGGTGCCGTGGCCCAAATGTGTTTCCAAGCTGCGCCGTTGTCCCTCGGTTACAATGGCTGTCAACATTGGGCGCGAATTGCCTGGGCGCTGCGAGGCCAGAAGAGCGCCGCTTGCGCAGAAACTTGATCACCCGGGCGACGACGTAGCCCGGCCCTGCTTGCGAGACTTACTTATCTGGTCAGCGCGTCGTCATGCATAACAGTTAGAACGGCAGTCGATAAATACAGCTCCAGCGGAGTGGCTATCCTCGAGCGAGCCCTACCGCCTGCGTGCTCTCCGAGAAACTCCCGCAGAGTTCTGCAGTGCTAAATGCTGCTCAGCGCGCCTGCTCTGCGTCATTTGCGCCACTTGCACATGATCTCTCGAGCGCGATGCACGCGCGCGCAGACGCGAGGCAGAGGAAGGCTATGGCCCAATCCAATGAAAAATGGCGCGCCCACCCCCCCCGCCCGCTGCGCCCGCGACCCGCCGCGCCGTCGTCGTAGCATTCGCGGCGCCACGCGTCGGCTGGGCGCCGGACTGGGCCTCCCGCGGTCTTCTTCCGCAGCGTCCGCCAAGAAGAATTCGGCTGGCCGCTGCCGCGGGCGTCCAGCGCCCCGCGGCGACGGGGGGGATCGGGCTGGAACTGCCATGGAAAAGCAAGCCACCCTTTCTGAATAACGCCGACGCGCTAGCACGTGCCGGGCGTGTTTTTGGTGCCCCAGCGTGTCCAGAGCACGCGCAGTGCGCGCCCGCGTGCTTTGGCGTCTTCTTGCTGGGGGACATGCTTCCATCCGCGTTCGTCAACTCCTGCGTGCCATTTCGCCCGCGCGAACTACTTCGCGCGAGCATCTGGCCCCGCTGCCGCGCCGGCATGATTCGCCCGGACCTCTTCAGCCAGCGCGCCCGCGAGAAGCACGCCCGCGCCCCGACCCGCGCTGACTAACCGTGGAAGCATTTGGCGACTCAGGGTGGTCCGCGTGCGCAGCTCATTGCATCATCTCGTTGCAAGTCTCGTCGGCTCTGTTGCGCCCCTGCCCGCCGCGGCGACTCCTCGGTCCGATGAGATCCGAAATCCACGAAGGCGTCCGCCGTCGCCGGGCCTGGGCGAGGCGGGCCAGCAGCTTTCCTGCAGCGCATACGCGATTGAAACCATAAATTGCTGGGAGGCGCCGCCGAGCAAGCGCGGAGAATGCCAGGAGACGCCAAACTGCGCGCCGCGCTCGGCGCCGCCCCCCTCGAGGGAAGCGCGAGCGTCTCGCGACCGTGAAGGGGTTGCGGCCGTCCGTCGCGACGTTCCAGGCGGACCGGCCATCTTCCGCTGGCCAAGCGCCGGAATGGCGGCGCGGGGCGCGATCGACGCGCGAAATGACCCCCGAGGCGGCGAAGTCCATCGGCGATGCGCCCTCGCCGCGGGCGTCAGCGGAGGCGCCCGCAATTGCAGAGCCATATGCGACGCAACGCTCAAGCAACGCATGCCAATTTGACGCGTCATTCACCAATTAATTTACGGGCGTTGCCAAGGGCGCGCGTTTGCCGATTCATCTGGCTTGGCTGGCCCTCTTGCCAAATAACTTCGCGTCGCAATTTCCCATGGCCGCTGTAGTGCTGCGGGGCGCGGTTGGCTCGGTCGTTCCGTGGAACTTGCCGTGGAAGCCCTGCCCGTGGCCCAGGTCGCGCCCGCCGTGCGGTGGGGGCAGCTGGGCTTGAGGGCAGGCGTGCCTCCCGCGATTCTGACTCGCGGCGAAGCCAATCCATGGCCGTGCGTTTCGCACGAAACAATGGCAGCCATTTGGGCCCATTCACATGGAGTCACAACGCAACGAACACCTGCTACTGACTGTTTGCTTTCCACAGGTTCCCCAGATCAAGATGCACCCCTCGCATTAGTAGTCTTTGCCAAGCAGACGCGATACTTGGTCGCAAAATGAACCGATGCGCGCTGATTGAGTTGATTGAGAAGGCCCCACAAATCTGATCACTGAGCTGCGCCCGATGCCCTTCGCACTCCATGTTCCGATCTGGTGAGTTGCCGGAAGCATACAGAAATGGAAGGCGACGCCTCCACAAATGTGTATTACGTGGGGCTGCGTCTCCACAGCCTCTGGCCACGCGTCGTCGTCGATGCCTAGCCCAACCGTCGCCGCCTGGACACGCGGGAGGTCATGCCTCGGCGGCGCCACCACCGATGGAGAAGTCAAGAGCGAACGAAAAGACAGCATGATTCATGAACAAGACTTCGGCGCACCATTTTGTAACCACGCAGTCTTGCATCGCGTCCTCATATGTTTCCTCGTCGGCGGGGAGGGCGCTGGAATAGACGCTCAAGACTGCGAGGTTGCCAACGGAGACCTGGTCGCCGTAGGGCGTACGTAGTGGTAGTTGTGCACAGAATACGTACAACACATCATGCAATCGTCGAAATTTGACCATCTTTGCCCATTTTTGCAATCGCCATGGCAACTGGTATCGGTAGATCGGTGTCATTGTCGGTTGAGGCCTCGGTCGGAGCCTGCTGTGTTTCTCAAGCATTTCCAGCTCCTTTTGGCTGCCTTTTGAAACCTCCTTGCGTCCCTGACGAAGCTCTGCGAACCAAGTCGTCATACTTGGCCGAAAAGTCTCTCAACGTCGCGCGCTGTTGGACGTCGCTCCGTTCGTCCAATTGTTGGAAACAGTCCCAAATGAAACCTGCATCTATGGATTTCACGGTTCGTGCACAATTGTTTCATCCCACTTAGACCTGGTATGGCGTACCGTCATTCACCTCAATTGCGTAGAACATGCGCATGTGCTCCTTCAAAACCGCCAACAACATGTTGCGTCACGGCCAAGTGGACGTCGACCCGTAACAACCCAAATAGTTGTTCCATTACGCTGCACGATTTTATCCCTAAGAATCTAATGAGGGCAACGGCCGTGCTACTGTCCAGCGGGCCCCATAACTCAGCGTACAAGATGTGGTTCGTAACAAATTCGACATGCAATTTCTGTGAGGTCGGGCCTGAAAGAGTCGTGACCATGTCTTGCAACCGTTATGCGGCGGCGGTGTTGGAGATGTCAGAGCCGACGAGGTTGCCGAACATTGCTGTGAGTGTACTCTTCTTCTTCTTCTTCTTCTTATTATTATTCTTCGCTTTGGTTTGGGCATGTGGAACATTTTGGTACTTTATATGTTGGACTTATATCCCTGGGGCTGCGTTTGCATATGATGCCGCCACTTGCTGACCCCGCCTTTGCTGATGTAACTGAGGTGTTCGCGAGGCGTCCCGAGCCTCTAGTAACTCTATCCGTGTGATGAGATCCTCGGCTGCGGCGCTGATCGGGTCAACGGTGTTCTGGAGGTCCACGCGTGAGACCCCATGTGCGCTGATAGCGTGAGCGTCCCTTATCGGATTCAGCTGCTCATCAGGAACTTGTCCAGGAATCATCGAAAGGGGCCGGATCGTCATCGGCGTCGTGCGAACATTCTTGAGGTTGATGTTGTAGCGCACCGGCGCTTTCAACGTCGTCCAGCCCATCAATTTCGTTCAGTGGACTGTGGATCGAATCTTGGTCCGCTCTCCCAGCCGACGCCCGCGGCGATGGTGGCGAAGTAGGTGGATAAAGGCCGTCCTTGAACAATTGCTTGACAGGGGTATCTGGCACGCGCGTGTCGCCACCAGCACTCGAAGAAGGTATCCCTGCAGGCATGAGCGCCCGGGGAGGTGAGATGAACATAGTGGTTGAGGGAGATCGAAGAATTCTACAAAAAGTGGGTGGGAGCTAACATGTTGAGTCTTGAGCCAAGCTTGCTTGAGCAAAGCAATGGGCTCTTGAACAACATGGTGAGAGGAGTGGAAGAGGGTGGGAAAGAACGAGAAGCACGATGAGAGAACGAAGGAATAGAGGAAGAGGAGCAGGAAACAGAGGATCAAGAGGATTAGTAAGAGGATGAAAACGAACTAGACGTGACGGCAACGGAAGAGGGGGGTAACGGAAGAGGTGCTTCAATGGGGGTGGCGGAGATGGATGGCGGGGGGAGGGAGGTGAGGGGAAGAAGGAGAGGAGGGAGCGGGGGAGGATATAGGGGATGAGAGGGAGAAGGTGGAACAGGCCCTCTTCCCCTCCCCCCCTCCTCCCCCTGGGGAGAGGGCGAGGAGGACAGGGAGAAAGGGTTGGGCAAGGACCGGGAAGGAGGGGAGGGAGGGGAAGGGGGAATGCATCATGCCAACCCGTGCGGCACGGTGAGTCCTTTGAGGCGGCCCTCCATTCCTTCCCCCGGAGCACACCGCTCGAGCCAACTGGCCGCAGTGGCGAACGGCCTCTGGCGCAAGCGTCGGCCCCACTGGCCAAGGGTGTCTGGGCGCGGGGCGCGCCCGCCCGGCCCCGGAGGCCTGAGCAGGATCTGGGACTCGCTCTGGTCGGGGTACTTGCGCTTGTTCAGCCCCGCGGCCTCGCGGCCCGCGGGCGAGGGGGCGGGAGGGAGGAAGGAGGGATGAGGATGCGGAAATGGGAGGGCGGAAACTGAAAGGAATAAGGGGGGGAGAGAAAAAGGAGAGGAGGAGGAGGAAGAGGAGGAGGAGGAGGAGAAGAAGGAGAAGGACATTGGGACGGAAGAGAGAGGGAAAGGAAATAAGGAGGACGCAGTGGGGAAGGTCAAGGCCGAGGTAGTCCCACGGTGGGCCCGTTGCTTATCAGCATTATCGAGTACGACGGTCAGCTCGGAATGGTGCAAGTAGGCGATGCGGTCGCGTGGCCGCCTGTCGGGATGGCTTCGAGTCGGCGGCTGGAGCCGCAGGCTTGAACGAGCCTCTTCACGTGTTCGAAACACTACTGATGGCTGCAGACGTGTTCGGCCCAACCCACCCGGTGTCGGGCACCGTGGTGGGTGTGGCCCGCCGGGACTGCGGTGCTCAGGATCTGGAGCCAGCAGCTCTCGCACCGCTGTGCGACGGCCGTGCCCGCAGAGTGCTCCCCGGAGGCGCCGCACGGGCCCATCTCGCTGGCGAGTCCGCCGGTGCAGTGGGCCCCGTCGCGGCACAGGCCGAGGCCGCCGTTTTCGCACACGCGGCCCAGGTCGGCCTCGAGGGGGCGGGGAGAGTGCTCGGCACCGGATCTGTGAGGCATCAGGAGTACAGGTCCGCCTTGTCGTCGATCTGGCCACGCTCTCGTGGGCCACGGGGCCATGGTCACCAGGAGGAGGAGGAGGAGAAGGAGGAGGAGGAGGAGGAAGCGGAGGGGGAGGAATAGAGGCGGTCAGAATGCTGATGTGCACAATCTGGTGACGAAGTCGGAGGTCTCCGAGTCGGCCTCTGGAACCACGAGTGCCACTCCGTGTTCGACCCACACGTTTTCTCTCCACTCGTGTCTCTACGGAATGGAAAGGTGATGCCGCAGGACTTGCTGCACATCTCGTCTTCTGCGATGTGTCCGACGTGTACGTCGAGGAAACGGATGATGAGCTGGACACGGACTTCTCCGCCAGGCCGTGCGGCTCGCTGAAGCCGATCAGCAGAACAGCGTCGGCATCAATTGCGTTCGTCCACTGTCTCGGTCAGTCGGTCCTCCTGGCTGCAGGCAAGAGGGCTCCACGCGACAGAAGCGCGCAAAAACGCCAGCAGCAGCCCGCACTCACATGGAATTTCTGGAAACTATGAATCCAGAAATGTCGTCATCTCTTTCGGGCGCATCTCTTACGTCCACCGCCTTCCGCTGGCCTTCCGCAGGCGAAAGTCGCCTCGCTTTGACTTTGTCGCCTTCCGCCGACCTTCCGCCGCCTTCTGCCGAAGAAGAGACGGCAATTCCTGTCTGGACGAACGAAACGGGTACAGAAAAATGGGCACGATGGCCCTGCACCAAATGTTGTCCCAAACCGACAGCGGCCGCTGCTGGGCAGGCGGCCCTCTTTTTCAAATGGACGTAGTTCGCGGCGACACTGACAGCGAGCCTACGTCACGAATGTAAATACATATATATATATATATATATACACATATACATATACGAGTGTATATATGTACACATATGTACACACACGTGTGTGTATATATATATATATATATATATTTACACGGACACCCTCCGGCGAATCTCGCATGTGCCTTCAGGGAGGGCGGCGGTGTATGAAGCCGCTTGCTCCCAGTGGTGACTCGTACACCGCCACCCTCCCCTGAGACCCAGGAGCAAGCCCCTGGAGGGCATCCGCGTGTGTATTTCCTGGTGGCGGACATAGAGGCCTCCTGGATGCGGTCCGAGCACAATTTGGTCGGGGGATCGAGCCGCATCGCCAGTACATCGTCGATGTATCGGTGATGCATCGGCGATGCATCGGCGACGCCGGCGATGCCTCGGTGACGTCGGCGCGGGGATGCACGGCCTCCACGTCGAGCCGCATCGCCGGTGCACCGGCGCTGCGGAGCGATCCTTCGACCCCATCTCCTCCGACCCCATCTGGGAGGCCTCGAGGAAAGCCCTGCTCCGTACCCCTTCCGATCGCCCCGATCCTGGAGCACGAACCGACCGTCCCGGCATTCCTATCGTCCTTCCACGACATGTTTTTAGAACCCCAAAAGGTTCGAATAACAAAAACAAGGCTCTTAGAACATAGACCCGATGCGTCAAAACAAGACGGCCCGGGCCAGAAATGCTCTAAGGACATCTCGTGGAGACCACAGAACGGTTCTTAGAGCATTGTCTGGTGGGGCTATAGCTCGCCATCGCTCGGACGTCCATTCCCTGTGTCTGTTCCGGTTTCGCGCGTGGCTTTTTCCGCCAAACTATCAAGGATGCTCCTCGACTGCCCTCGCCGAAGGAACAAAAAGGCACACGCCCGAGCGATGCCAAGAGAGGCGAGCCAGGACGCTTCGCCACTGCTTAGCGATCCTCCCCGGCGAGGCCCCAGCTGGAGGCCCGGCGTCTCCACCTCCACCTCCTCCTCCCTCCTCCTCCCCCCCCCTCTCCTCGACCTCCCCCCTCTCCCCCTCCTCGATCTCCCCCCGAACCCCGCCTCCCCGCAGCCGCGCCGGCACCGACCCGCGCCCGCCGTGACCGCGCCGCCGCCCTCCGGCGGCCCCCCACCCCCCGGGCGGCCGGGCGGGACCGCCCCTCGCGCGGCGGCCGACGGGGGGCGCGGCGGCCGACGGAGGGCCGCGGCGCGGTCACGGCGGGCGCGGGTCGGTGCCGGCGCGGCTGCGGGGAGGCGGGGCTCGGGGGGAGATCGAGGAGGGGGAGGAGGGGGGGGAGGTCGAGGAGAGGGGGGGGGAGGAGGAGGAAGGAGGAGGTGGAGGTGGAGGAGACGGCTAGGGGCCAGGAGGAGAGGGAGGCGGCAAGAAGAGCACGGAGGAGGGTGCGAAGGTGGAGGAGGCGGAGGGGGGATGAGCCTGAGAAGGAGGAGGAAGAGGGCGGAGGCGGAGGAGAGATGTGGAAGATGAGCCAGAGGCAGGGAGAGCACGGGGAGGGTGAAGGGAGAAGGAGAGGAGGAGGAGGAGGAGGAGGAGGAGGATGAGGAGGAGGAGGATGAGGACGATACACAAAGTGTCTAAGAAGACCACGTCAGACATCTGCGATGGTACTCACTCCGCTCGACAGAGCTTGGATACTTCCATGTAGCCCTGTAGGAGGCTGTGTTTTTCTTGGATCGGCTATAACCTGGGTATTCGGGGGGGGAGGGGCCGGCCGATAACATAACCTTCGCTCTGTGAGCAGCCCCGCATATGCCCGCGCGCGCGCGCCAGTGCTGCGGCCCCTACAGCTGCTGACGATGCTGCGACGATGATGCTGTTCGTGCTGCGACAATGCGGCGGGCGACGTCTGGGAATGCCGGAAGATATGTCTGGATCTGCTCAACCGACAAGGAGAGGCAACATAACCGGGGGGGGCGAGCCCGATAACCCGGGTTATCGCCGGACCCAAAAAGAACAGTCCCTAGTCAAGAACAGTAGCAAGCACGCAGATCATCAAGCTCAGCACCCTCGGCCCATCCTCTCAACATGACCACAACCGCAATCGGTTCAACATGGCCGTGTAAGGGTCGTGCTCCCGCACATCGTTTTCTGACTACTAGTTGTGACTGCCGTCCAATTCCACTCGAAATCCGCCCCCAGGATCGCTCCCAGGACGCCGCCCGGACCTGCTCCTCGCGCCGCGCCTGGCCGTCTGCAGACACCCAAACACCCGACGCCGTGCTCTTGATCAACGCGGCGCTCCCGGAAGCCAGACGTCTGGGCCCCTCGCCGGGGGGCCCGCTCGTCGTCCCAGGTGAAAGCCTTAGGTCGGGCCTGTCCCCCTACAGGCGGATTTTGGACGATTTTTTGATATAAAAAACATGTTAAACATGCTCCTAAAATGCTCCCTCCCAGACTATTTTTGACTGTTTTTGAACGTTCCCCCTGTAGAGGGACAGGCCCGACATAATGAAAGCTCGACGGCCCCGTCCGGCTCAGAAACGGCCCCGGCGAAAGCAGACCGAGACCGACCTTCCGCCCTGAGCGGCTCGAGGCGCTGGGAGGCCTGGGCCCCCCCCCCGGGGAGGGGCCCGCCCGCCTCGATCACCGTCTTCACGGCGCGCATGCCGTAGTCGTAGTGGCACTGCGCGGAGAGCTGCTCGCTGCAGAGCTGGAACGTGGTCACCATCTTCTTCGCCAGGTGCCTCCCGCCGCCGGCCGGTCGGGGGGCAGAGCGGGGGCGGGGGCAGGCGGAGGAGGGAGACGGACCCTCACGCGAAGCGCCTTCCGGAAGAGAAGAAGCGCGGAACCTGTGCCATACATGTCGGTGCCCGGGGGCCGGCCCGGGAGCCGTCCAGAAACGAGAACGGGATCAGGAGAACAATCCCCAGGAAGGGGTCGATGAATCCCTGCACGGGCCGCGTGTGGCAAAAACACGGGCTCGGGGGCCTGGAGAGAAGGCTCGAGGATCCGACGTCCAAACCTTTTGGATGTTGTCTGCCCTCTCCGCGCCCTCGGGAGAGGCTTCCGGGGACTTCTGGAGTGGGCCCCTCGAGACTCGACTCCTGCATGGGGACCGCGAAGACTTTGCCAATGCCCTCGGGGGGGGACCTCGCTTGCGCTGCGCGCAGCGCGAAGAGCGGACATGGCCAGGCCATCGCACCGCACCCCTGGAGGAAGGACAACTCTGAAGGCACCGACCGCGAAGCGCGGCGCAGGGCCATCCTGGCGCACCTGCCCCGTGGCGGGCCACCTGCAGGGATGGGTCATGGAGCCCAGGGGCGCCCGGACAGACCGGCCCAAGGGCATCGGGCAGTCAAAGTCGGCAGGTTCCCGGCAGGTTGGAAGTGCGCAGGGGGACATAGGGGGCGAGGGGAAGGCTTCTCGGAAGGAGGCTGCTTCGTAGAAGGCGCCGGCCCTAGACTTCTAGAGAAGGCGTGCGGCTTCCAAGAAGCAGGCTTCTTCGAGGAAGCCTCCCCCCCTCCCCCCGTACCCCCGACTGCGTGTGGCCGAACGGTCCTGGTTGCCTGCGCGTACCCCCTGAGATCGGAGCGTGCCTGGTCGGCCCTGGCGCCTGGAGCCCTCCGATCGGCTACATGCAAGAGTGACCCTGGGTAAGAGTGACCTTTGGTGCGCGGCTTTCTGGGGGACGCGGGGGGACCAAACGCAAGCACGCAAGACACTACTACCGCATCGCGTTCGGCGATCGGGGGACCCCATTGGGCCCGCACCGAAGGTCACTCCGGCGAAAGGTCACTCTTAGGTGTAGTCGACCCGAGGCCTCCAGAGGCCCTCCAGAGGCTTCCGCGGGCCCAGGATTGGCAAGAAACGCTGGAGGGCCTCGCTCATCGATCGTCGACACTCACTGGCGGCGCGCACAAGGGGGGTATGGGACGGGGGGGAAGGCTTCCTGGAAGGAGGCTGCTTCTTGGAAGGCGCCCGCCTTACGTCAATGAGCGAGGCCCGCGCCTTCTTACAAGCAGCCTCCATTCTCAGAAGCCTCCCCCCCCCATACCCCCCCCTCTGCGCGTGGCTGACACTTCCTCCTCCCCCTTCCCTCCTCTCTGTCGAGGGCGATGCTCTCGGGCGTTCGGGGCCGTGCGTCCTCGTCCCCGACCCCGCTGGGAACCACCTCACTGCTGGCCCCTCGCCTCCCCTCCGGGAGGATTTCTTTTGCTCCCTGCGAAAACTCCGGGGGGCCACGAGGCTGCCGGGGCCGATCCGTGAGAGGGCGATCATATGAGTCGCATCCCCCAAGCTGGCTGTTCATTTGCACTCATGTGGTCTGGAGCCGGCTGTTCAGTGGGGTCTTATCTTACCTTGCCCTCCTCTCTGTGAATGATTCCTCCTTTTTTGCCCCAGGCGATTCTGTAGGGCGGACTGGGCTTCGCCTGAGACGTCCCAACCGCTTGCGGCCCTACGTCTTGGGATCCCCAGCAGCCACAAGGAACGAAAGGCGATTCCAGAACAAATATGCGGCTGTCGCCTGAGTGCAACGCATGCTCGTACATTCGCCCTGAAAGCTTCCAGCAATTATGCGGCTAGAGGGCGGGCCGTGTGCAAAAGTGGCCCTCGCATGCACACTCGTCCAAGGGCCGCTTTCAAAATCCAGCTACGAAAAAAAAGATGATCGCAAACTTCAAGGATCAAGGATGAGACGGGTGAAGGGCGCCTCCTTGGCCAAATGAGCGACGAAAAGGAGGGGGTCTTACGCAAGATGGCACAGCAACCTTCTGTCGCGGCTCACGCGGGCCGCCAGCGCGGCACGCCATGACGCGCAAACGTCGGCGAAGACGACTCCTTTTTTTTTCGTCGCTCGAGCGGTGCTCCCGCTGGAACTGGGGGGCCACATGCGAACCCTACCCCTACCCCCCCAACGATTTCTGAGGGGGAGGGTGGGGCTCACGCCGCTCGGGAGCTCCCCAGCGAAGTGAACCCCACCCTCCCCCTCAGAAATCGTTGGGGGGTAGGGGCAGGGTTCGCAAGTGGCCCCCTAGAGAGGTCACTCTTGAGTGCAGCCGACGAGGGCACAAAGGGGGCTGCACCATGCCGGAAGCGGCCGAGGAGGAGGAGGAGGAGGAGGAGGAGGAGGAGGAGGGAGGAGGAGGAGGGGGGTAGGGGTAGGGGTAGGGTTCGCATGTGGCCCCCTGGGGACCTTTCCCGACAGCATGCGGGCAGGTGCGCGAGCGTGCGCAGCCGCTGCGCGCACGCAGGGGCGGCTGCGGCTCGAGCCCGGGGGCTCCGCTCTGGGCACCTCCCTCCTCCTCCTCCTCCTCCTCCTCCTCCTCTCCTCCTCCTCCTCCTCCCCTCCCCTCCTCCCTCCTCCTCCTCCTCCTCCTCCTCCTCCTCCCCTCCTCCTACTCCTCCTCCTCCCCCTCCTCCTCCTCCTCCTCCTCCTCCTCCCCTCCTTCTCCTCCTCCTCCTCCTCCTCCTCCTCCTCCTCCTTCTCATCCTCTTCCTCTCCTCCTCCTCCTCAGCTCCGAGGTCCTGCCTGCGACTCTCGGCCGTGCGCTCTACGCCGCCGGGAGGAGGAGGAGGCCCGACCCCAGGACACACAAATAAATACACACAAAAATAGAATGATGTCCAATCTTTCCCCAAATTTTCAGAGTGTTCGTCTTCCCCCCCCCCCCCTTCCCACAGTTTCCAATGTTGTCTTGGGAATCGAGGATGAATTGTGTCTGTGTGTTTTTTCCCCTCCTCAGCTCCGAGGTCCTGCCTGCCTCCTCGGCCGTGCTGTCCCCGCCGCTGGACAGGGGAGGCCCGGCAGCCGCCGCTCCCGAGCACGGGGCCCTCGCCGGAAGGACAGGCCCGTCGGGCCCTCGTCTTAAATCGGGCCTGTCCCCCTACAGGGGGATTTTCGACGAAAAATCAAAAAAAAAAAAAAAAAAAAAGTTATAAAAAATATTAAAAAATAGTCTAGGGACTATGTTTTGAGTATTTTTGGATCTTTTGGGGGCATTTTGGGTGTATTGTTTATTTTTCGTCGAAAATCCCTCTGTACGGGGACACGCCCGACATAACCCTCGTCGTTGAAGGGAGGTGCTCCACTCGGAGTGAGAGAACGGTCGCGTGAGCAGGGGGCTTGGGACGGGTGCGTGGCAGCATCGTTGGTTCATCCTGGGCTCACGTTGGTTCTCCTCCTCCTCCTCTTCCTCCGCCTCCTTCTCCCTTCGAGTGGCCAAATGATGATGGGCCTTCCGTTCTCGAACCCGAACGAATAGAAGCTAATCTCGCCGATCATCGAATAGTCTGGCACCATCATGGCCATGGGCCGGAAGAGGGCCGCGAGGTTGTCTGGCAGCTCGCTCCGCCCAGCGTAGCCGGGGTTCATGGTAATGAAGACGTTAAACGTCGGCTTCATGATGATCATGGTGCCTGCTGGGGGCGCCAGGGCAGGCAGCCGTCAGTGGGCCAGAGGAGGAGAAGGGTGATAAGGTGCGATATGAAAGTGGTGCCTCCGGGGACTGCGCAAAGGCACTCAATCAAGCTTGGGCTAGGAAGGGGAGGAGAGAGATGATGAGGCGAAATCTGATCATGGGTGGGCATAGGGGCAGTCAGCCCATATTGGAGTAGAAGAATGCGGAGACGCATGATGAAACAGAATCTGATCATGGCGCCTCATGGGGGAAGGGCGGGGCGAGGCTGGCGTAAGGGAAAGAGGTCCAGGTGATAAGGTGGAAAAGACCAATCCGCCATCCTGAGATGCTCTCTGACTGTCATGGGGCCCACCGGGGGGCCCAGGTGCTCGACAACGGCGCAAGGCCTGGGCAAGGAAGGGCCCCCCCACCTCCGGGCTCCGTGCCGAGCACGGGCAGGCGTCCAAGGGGAAAGGCAACGACACGGCGCCGCCACGAGTGCATTGCCGACCGGATGAAAGAACGGACGACTCCTCGGCGCCGCCAGACCTCGACGCCATGCGAGGGAGAGGGATGGAGGAGCAGTGCTCATGCTCTCGAGGGTGGGTAATCCCAGCACTGTCAGAATCGGATGGGGCTTACGGTTTCTCATGAATGAAGGCCGGTGCGGAGGACGAACCGGAATAATCAATGTGATGGTGATGATGATGATGATGCTGCTGCTGCTGCTGATGATGATGATGATGATGATGATGATGATGATGGTGATGGTGATGCTGATGCTGATGCTGCTGATGATGTTGATGATGCTGATGATGATGATGATGATGATGATGATGATGATGATGATGATGATACTGCTGGGGAAAGATGGGGCAAGAGAAAGGACGAAAGCGAGAAGTACGTGGCATCTCTGGCAGACGAGCTGCTCCCTTTGCTCCCCTACACGTTCTGGCTCCCTGCCGGTTCCTCCTGCGCGGGACAGACGCCTCCTCTTCCGGCGTTGCAACTCATGAGTGACGTGGGCCCCCGGGAATCTCGACCCGCTGCCGCCTGTTCGTGGTTTGGATGGCCGAACAGCGAACCGACGCCGAACAGACCTCGAACGGCTGCGAACAAAACTGCGAAACAGTACGACCTGCGTGTTCTGATGGCCGACGCGAACAGGCGGCGAACAACAGCTCCAGGGCCCAACAAACGGCGAACAGGCGCCGAACAGCTGCGAAACAGCTCGGCCCGGTGCTTTCTCAGGCCGCTGGAGGTCTGGTGCCGCCGGCCCCCGTGGGTGCCGTCGAACTCCAGCTGCGTGTGCTCGTTGTAGGACGCGATCTCGGACTTCGCGGTGAAGAGCTGCAGCAGCTGCTGGGCGATGACGCTGAGCACCTGCCGACGAGGATCGAGCCTCGACACACCGGCGGCGCTCGGAGAGGCCGACCCTGACACCCTCGCGTCGTGACACAAACACGGCACGATGGAACTTGTGGCTGCACCGTGGGTGGTTTCGGCCTCCCGGGCCCTTGCTGGACCCCCAGGCCGCAAACGGCCATGGGAGGAGACTGGTTGCGGGGAACGGGTCCAGAGCAGCAGGCCGCCACGTTGAGAGAAAAAATCGCGGCGTCCGAGGTGTGGTCAATGTGGAGTGCGATGGTATCCGGCCCTCCAGTCAAAAAGACCCACCCGATGTCGGCGCGTTCTCTCTTGGACGGCGGCTCCAGAAACCCGATGATAGTGGGGCTCGGCCGAAGTTGTTTGCCAGCGGCCACCTCAATATAGATGCGGTTGAACTCGTCGAAGCAGCACCATGCGCCGCTGGAGGCGAGCCCCTTTCAAGAGGACGCCAGATACAGTGCAGGCGCGGTCGCAAGAAACCCTCGCAAGAAACCCAACCATGGAAACCCGCGCGCGAGGTGCGCCTGAGGGAGAAACCCGAGCATCCTGAACGAATCAGCTTCTTTGACGGCCGATGGTTTCTGATGCGCGCCCCCGCTGTGCAGCTCTGCCTACGCCGATCCTGGTCGGGCCCATTCCTGGATGTAGGATCGATGAAGGCGCCCCCCGAACCTGGCCAGGAAGAAGGCGTGCACACAGATCCTGGGCCAAAGCCTTGGCCCGGCCAGGACTGGAGCAGGTGTACGGCTCACGCCTAGAGGTCTGCGGGTCCGTGGAGGCTTCTCTGGAGAGGTCCCGGGACGCTCCCAGGGAGGCCTCTCGAGGCCAAGCCCCGCTCGAGGCCGAGGGCCTCCGAAGACCTCGGTCCGAGCCCCGACCTTGAAGAATTTGCCGACCATGATGTAGTCCTGGGGAAACTAAAAGGTAACGATACCGCCACTCCCCGGACCTCTCTTGGGGTGCGCGGTAGGACCAGGCTTTCGAAGCGAATCCGGCGGTGGCGACGAGGGCCTGCCTGGAGAGCGAAACGGCAGAGAACGGGCGAAGGGCAGCAGTATGGGCACATCTTCTCGGGGATGGACAGACCTCCTTTTATAAAGGGAAATTAGGACACACAAATAAATACACACAAATAAGATTAGTCCCCATATTTTCCCATATTTTCTGGGTTTCTGTCTTCCCCCCCACTTCCCATATTTTCCCATATTTTCCTGGGGATCGACGATTAATTGTGTCTGTGTGTTTCTTCCCCTCCTGATTTTAGTAAAACGTGGTTTAGTGAAAACGACCTCGGGCCCAAACCTGGCGGGCGCAAGCCTGGAAAATAACGGCCACGGCGCCCTCTCGAGAACCGAAAACGGACAATTCACTAATCGACGTGTCACTGTTGGGGGTTCCGTCCACCCCCGATTTTCCTCCTCCGAGGTCCATCTCGGGGGAGCAGTTGAAGACCACGCACTGCTTCGCGAGGGCCTTCGCCAGGTCCTTCGTGGTCTCCGTCTTGCCCGTGCCCGCCGGGCCGGCGGGCGCACCGCCGAGGTTCAGGCTCTGGGCGCCTCTGCGGCATGCGCGGGCACAGGGCAATGCTGGTTTGATGTTTTCGGCCTGCGTGCGCCAGGGAGCTGGGACATCGGACATCGGACATCGGCCTGCAATCGAGGCGCCGCGGGGGCGCTGCAGGTGGGCGCCGGGGCGCCGCCGTGCATGACAATTGACGACGGTGAGACAAGGGACAAGCGAACCAGAGGAAGACAGAGACATAGAGAGAGACCAACAGAGGACGGGCAAAGGAGAAATGCAATATGTAATCGTAGATACAACAACTATGCGCCAGGAAGCTGGGACACACACAAGCACACACGCACGGCTGGACCCACACGTGGAACATCTGGAGGCCCCGCGCGCTGGATGGCCAGCGCGCCCGGCCACACAGAGGCCGAGCACTGGAGCGACATCGGGGCATGTGTGTAATGCGGGATGACGATTAATCAAAAAATTTGAGAGAACGATTTAAAACATAGTTTTCCGCTATTTCTGCATAATTTTCTGACTGGAGGAGAACGATAAAAAATAGGTTTCCAGCCCGCGGCCGGTTTTTTCTAATCGTCATCCCGGGCGCCACCGCGTGAACACGACCCCCGGTCATTTTTTAATCGTCATCCTCCATTATCCAAGTCTCGCCCGGGCGGGAGCAGGACATACAGCCGAAGCTGCAATCCAGAAAATCACATGTCTTGGAAACTGGGCAAGAGTCTCAAGAGCTTCTTAGAACAAGCCTGGGTTGCACTCTGCCGTTCCCGCTGGACGGGCACACGTGCTCGGGAAACTGGGCCAGCTTTCCAGCAAGTTGGTTCAGAAACGCTGGCCGAGCGTTTCGGGAGGAGGTTGTTTCTGAATCATATGCACGGCCGCACTTGTTTTGAGCCTCCAGATCCCTGGAGATCTTCGGAGACCAAGAGCAGCCAGACAAGTCCCAGAGCCAACAGATGCAGCCAGAACTGCAAGCAGGAAAAAGAAGAGGAGGATGAACGCAACATTTCCAGGGTGCACAGTCTGATACAATAGACCTACAATTAGCACGATCTCACCCTTCTCAGGGCACGATAACCTGCCAACGAGTGCACGAGAGAGCTTTGGCCGGGCGCGTGCGGCTTCCCGACTCGTGAAGATAGACTATGAGTTTCCAGGCACATCGCTGGACAGGAAATCTGGAACAGAGGGAAGAACAATGAGGGGCAACTTATAGCACGGGCAATTCGGAGAACCTGGCACACCGAAGCACGGGGGCCGCCTTGAGAGCGAAATGCCCGCGACCCTGCTGGCCCTGGGTGGTAGAGCATCGTACAGATGTTGACGCTTGAATCAGAACTGCAATGAAGGGGGACGACGGTGATGACAATCACGACGAGGACGGGCTGGAGCAAGACAAGGAGCAAGAGCAGGTGCAAAAAGGGGAGGGGCGCCCATTAGAGTCATGTAACACATGTCTGTCAGGGGCGTAATCACGAGCCGGAACGAGTTCCCTAAGTACTCGTACCCGTAAGGGAACGGGGTCTGCACCATCCTGACCCAGCAGTTCTCCTCGTTGCGGTCGTCCTTCTCCCAGTAGTACCGCAGCTGGGAGATCCACTCGAAGGACATAGGGTCGGTGATGTCGGCCTTGGCCAACTTTTCAACTGTATCCTTTGCGTGGACGTCGATAACCACAAGCGCCCCAATGCTCATTCGCTGAAGTTTGGTGATGTTCCCGCGAACGAGGTACACGAGCTCCATCAGCTGTTCCTGGAGATTGGCAGCATACTCAGCGACGGTGTGATCCTTGATCGCACCTTCCACTTCCGCTGTCCAATGCACTTGGCTCGCATTCAGGACGACCTGGCCAGGGTTGGACAGCACCCATTCCGCTCGCTTCATGTCAATGTAGGTCTCGATGCCAACCTTCATCACGTTGCGGACGGCGGCAATCATCTGGTTTTCCACGTCCGTCATCCACACCTCCACGTTCTTGTTCTGGGTGACCACTGGCCTCACCAAGTCGACGACCTCGCCCTCGCTGGAATGCATCTGGGTGGCCGCCAGCTCTGCGGTGAAGGTGAGCTTTTTCATGGCCTCGAAGACTTTGCTCAGGAACGGCTGCACCCGCAACGGGTCCTTCGGGGGAGCAGAGATACCAGTACGGCTACTTCCCAGACCTCTCCCAAGGTGTATTCTGACCAGACGTCTGAGGCGAATCCACCCGTGGCGACGAGGTCCCCCCTCCAGTGGCCCAAACAAAACGAACACGACGGAAGGGCATCGGTAGCCGCATTTGTTCTCCTCCTGTCCTTGGTCTGCGACAAGATCTCGAGGAGCTCGTCGTTCGAGAGGAAATAGAAGCGGGCGAAGGCTCCGCGCTTAGTCTCCAGATAGTCGTCGAGCCCTTGTTGGTGGACGCCAACACTAGATATACACCGGCCATGGCCCGGTCCACCCTTGGCCCATGACCGGTTTTTACGCCCTGACTCAAAGCTTAGACAGGAAGGCATACGCACCGATTCTAGGTTTAGCACGGGCCTGGGCTAGACCAGTTTAAGTGCAAAGTTCTCTTCGCCCGACCTTTCTGCACCATGTCCAAGTCTTTGTTCGCGCCGTTCCACGTCTCGAGGAGGCCCTCGGCAGAACAGGCCGCAAGCGCCTTGCGAGGTTGAAAATAGAAATGCCCTACCCCTTCTCCTCCGACCTTTCCTCCCCTTCACCCTTTTCCTCTTCACTCTCCTCAGCTGACCTTCCTGTCTCCTCCTTCTCCCACCCCTGCCTCGTCACCGCCAGGGCGGGGGGGGGAATTGTCGGTGCCCCTTCGACCCCTCTCCAACCGGGCCTGGGGATTGTTGTGAGTGCGCTGCATGACTTGCCGCCATTTCCCATCCACCAACTTGAACTTCTTTCCCTCCGTGGGAAGCTGCTTCATGATGTCGGGGGAGTCGAAGATTGGTTGCAAATACATCCAGGCTCTCTGCACCTTCAGCCACGCGTCCAGGCACTCGGATACGTACAACAACTTCGCCGCCCACTCGTCGATGTCATCTTTGAAAGGCTTGTTGAACGGCGAGAACTGCATCGCTTGTGTAACCACGACCTGCTCGTCCAACAGAGCCATGACCTCGTCCGCGCCTTTGAGGATGTAGGTCTCTGTGGTGCGGTATGGCTCTTTGCAATCGAACACCATTGCTTCCCAGGCCTTCTTCATTTCTGCGAGCTGCCTCTCGATGGACAGCTCCTTGCCGCTCCGGTCTCCGAGTTCATTGATTTCGGCGGCACGCTTGAGGCAGCCAAGCTCGAGGAGGTGCTTGAGAGTGAAGTCCTCCATGTCGGGTGAGACCTCGTTTCCGATCAACTGGCTCACCTGCGTCCAGTGTCTCTCCCGCATGCCTGGGTTGCGCATGCCTACAATGATCGGCACGTTCGGTGCGAAGTCGTCAATCTGCTGCTTGATGTCTTTTGCAATGGCGAGTACCTTGCCAGCATCGTCACGCTTCTCAAAAGCTTTCACTGTCTTGAATAATGATTTCTGGCCATTCTGGATGCTGTTCTCGGCATGCTTCGAATCGATATCGCCGAAGCCGCCGTTGAACCACTTCTCTGAATCTTGCAGCCAGTGGTACGTCACAGTCCATAGCTGCGAGAAAGGGTCCCACTCCTTCTGGAGCATGTTGAGTTGCGAATAATCAGTGGTTGGCTTGCCGAAGAGGGCCTCCCGCGAGTTAAACTTCTTCGCCTCCTCGTTCGCTTTCCTGAGCCTCTCGTTGACGCTCTCGACGAATCCGAAGATCTCACCGACTTTGCCGACGTCGGAATACTGTGCGAAATTCTCGATCGTGCCAGCCAGGTCAATGAGCATCTCAGAGAAATCGCTCTGCTCTTGCTGCATGTCGTCGTCGAATGACTGTTCCAAAGCCTTGATCTCCTCTGTGACTTGATCCATCAACGCATAACACTTTTTCGGGCACTCGAACACGCGCCATCGCTGGAAAGAGTCGTCAGCCGTCATACGCACATGGAAAGACTCCAACGTGGTGAACATTGTAGAGACTTTGCTCATGTCTGGCAACGTTTTGGCAATTTCGTTGGGGACACTGGCCATGAAGTCGCGCAGTTCTGAAACCTCCTCAATGGTCTTCGGCTTCTTTCGCAGCTGCGCGAAGATGCCCGTGTAAAGGTCGGCGATCTCCTGCGCGCCATCGCGAAACCGCGCCAGCAAATGGTCAAGGAGGAGCTCGACAATCTTCTTGTGCCGGTTAGCGAGCGACTTTCGAATCTCGGTCATCGACACCTCGAACAGCCCCACCACAGCGGTCTCTGGTATGGCCTCCAGGACCTCCTGCTCCTTACAGGGCTGCAAAAAATAGGCTGTGGGCGTTCCTTCCCCTCATAGTTGTCCTCAGCCTCCTCTGTATCCCAACATGTCTCGCAATCGGACGACACTCTCTATGCCATCAGGACGCGGGCCAGAGATAACGCAAGCAAGCGCAAGCGTGTGGAATCGTGTGAAACCATGTGAAAGCATATGAAACATGTGGAAACGCCCAAGGAAGAATGAGAGCCTGTGACGTCTCTGGACCGTCGAGAAGGTCTGGGTCAAAAAGGGTGGTTTCGACGGCTCCTGCGGCGCCTCAGGTTGAGTTGTGGGGCATCAGGTCAGGCTTAGGGGCCTCATGACTAGCGAAGCCAACCTTGGCCCAACGAACCCTTCTGGCAACCTCCGAATGTCACTGGAGGCAAATTGAAGCCAGTGGAAGCAAGAGGAGGCAAGGAGAAGCAAGTAGGAGAAAACGAAGGCACCTGTGAGAGAGGGAAAACACACGCAAACAATTTGAAACGAATGGGAAATACAGAGCGGAAGCGCGTGGACATCACACGGAAGCATGTGAGAGCAAGCGCAAGCAAAAGGAAGCACGTGCAATAAACATGTAACACAAGTGTTGGGGGGCTGACTTCTTCAGGCGTCCAGAGGCCCCAATGCAGAAGACATCGACATTCCCTGGAGGTCCCCGTAGGTAAGCCCAAATATTTCTAGAACCGGCTGAGATAAAACAAATCGTGGCCCAATCGGCGACGGCAACGGGGCCAAACGGCGAACGATGACCCCGTGCCTCCAACGACACACTTGTTTCGAGTCGTGGGCCGGGTCGAATCTTCAGTCCTTGCCTTTCACACCTTTTCTGGGGGGCATGCCTTGGTGTTGGGCAACGTTCAGAAAATGCTGCGTGATAAATAGAGTTTCGCAGCGTCGGCTCCCATGAATGATATGACCGTGTTGCGTGCCTCATCGTTCTGAGATTATTTGCTCAACAAACGGTCGAACAGGACAACTCCAACCACCAGCGAAAATAACGGTGCCACGCAAGCACTTGCCACCGCTAGAGGCGCCGCCGCCTCGGACACGAGATGGTGCGCCATCTCGCAGCTACGCGCGTTGACCAAGAACACGCTTGCAAATGTAAGTCCATCGCCCCTGCGGCTACCATCGAAATTTGGTTTCGGCCGGCAGCGTCCCTGAATGGTCCCGTGGTACCAGAAGGACCACTCATGGCCATTCGTTGCCGTGTCAGCCGCCGACTTGAGCTCGCGATATAAGTGCAGACAAAATAATGGCCCAGAGGCAATGGAAAGCTCAAGCCCCGAGCGACCCATGTGTGGCAGATGCGGCGTAACGTCTTCATCACACCAAGTGCGCATGCTGCTTTCCATACGCAACTGAAGCAGTTACAGGCGAGCAACGAATCGACAATGCAAAGGCACCACGGTGTCTCAACAGCCAGGCGCTGATCTGTTACCATCTCCGCAACGGCAGCGGCAAACATGGATTACTCGCGCGCTGATTTACCGTGGCTTCGTTCCTGGACAAGCGCGTGCTGCTCTCTGGAACGCTCACGTTGTGACCCTGGTAAGCAGAGCTCCTGAAAGCGTAGCGATTCCCGGCCAGGAGTTCTGGGCACTCCCCGACCTTGAACCCCATCATCAATCCTGGGAATCGTGGGTGGTCAAGAACGCCTACTCCAAGACGCCTCCAAGACGGCCAAGATGGCCTCTAAGACGGCTAAGATGACCCTAAGATGCCTCCAAGACGGCCCAAGATGCACCCAAGACGGCCTAAGATGGCCTCGAGATGGCCCAAAACGGCCCAAGAGGCTCCCAAGAGGCCTCCAAGACGGCTCAAGAGGCCTCCACGAGGTCCTCCAGGAAGGCCCGAAGAGGCCAACATCATTAAGTTTCCTCCGGTTTTTGAAGGACGTTGGTATTTGCGCCTTTTCGGCTTTCCGACGGCCCAAGACGGCAAGAGGCCCCCAAGGTCGCCCCAAGATCGCCCAAGAGGCATCCAAGATGGCCCCATGACGGCCCCAGAGGCCCCCAAGACGGCCCCAAGAGGGCGCCAAGAGGCCTCGACGACGACCAAGATGGCCTCTAAGACGGCCCTGGAGCACCCCAAGAGCACCCAAAGTCGGCCCAGAAAGGCCCCCAAACGGCTTCCGACGGCGTCAGACGGGCAAGGAGCCCACCAAGATGGCCGAAGGTGGCTCGCAGCTGGCCCAAGACGGCCCAAGAGGCCTCCAAGAAGGCCAGAAAATGTCAAAAAGAGTGATGTCCCGTTTGTATTTGAAGGATGTTGACATTTGCTTCGTTTCGGCCTTCCGACGGCCCGATACGGCCCAAGAGCCCCCAAAGATCGCCCAAGGATCGCCCAGGAGGCCTCCAAGATGGCCCCAGAACGGCCCAAGAGGCGCCCAAGACGGCCCCAAGAGGCCCCCAAGACGGCCGAAGAAGACTCCAAGACGCTCAAGATGGCCCCAAGACTGCCGACGAGCCCTCCAACACTTCCTCCTCCAAGAAGGCCCGAAAGGGTCAAAATGACCTCCAGGCGGCCAAGATGACCTTCAAGATGCCTACGTGCTCCCCGAAGGCTTTCCAAACCGATTCGGGGAACACATGGTCCGATAGCTTGGCAGGTCTGGCCTCAACGTTGGGCCACATAGGGCTTCCACAAAGGCAGGAGGCGGCGGTGATTCGCCGTAGGCGTCTTCGATCCGCCGCCCCCTGTCGATTCATCGCAGGGGTGCCTGGCGTGCTGGATCCTTTCGGTTTTGGTGTTGGTTCTTTCCCAAAGAACTCCCCCTGAGGCTTCGGCGCGTTCCGCCGGCCCCCCGACAAGAACCTCAATCCCCAATGTTTCGCTCAAAATGCCTCAAGATGGCCTCCAAGGTGCCTCCAAGACGGCCACGATGGCCCCCACGTCGGCTAAGATTGCCCCGAAATGCCTCCAAGACGGCCCAAGATGCACCCAAAACGGCCTGAGATGGCCTCAAGATGGCCCAAGAGCCCCCTAAAAGGTCTCCAAGACAGCCCAAGAGGCCTCCAAGAAGTCCTCCAGGAGGGCCCGAAGGGGCCACAAACATTTTCCTTAGGTGTTTGAAGGGTTCGGGCATGTTCTTCGCATCAGCTCTCCGACGGCCGAAGAGGCCCCCAAGATCGCCCACGAGGTCTCCAAGATGGCCCCATGACGGCCAAAGAGGCTCCCAGGATGCCCCCAAGAGGGCCCAAGAGGCCTCCAAGACGCCCAAGATGCTTCCACGACGGCTATGATGGCCCCAAGATGCCTCCAAGACGGCCCCAGATGCACCCAAGATGGCCTAAGATGTCCTCAAGATGGCCCAAGACGGCCCCAGAGGCCCCCAAGAGGCCTGCAAGACGCCCAGGAGGTCTCCAAGAAGTCCTCCAGGAGGGCCCGAAGATGCCAAAATCATTGATTGCTCTTAGGTGTTTGAAGGATTTTGGTATTTGCTTCTTTTCGGCATGCCGACGGCTCAAGACTGCCGAAAAGGCCCCCAAGATCGCCCACGAGGCCTCCAAGATGGCCCCATGACGGCCCAAGAAGACCCAAAGAAGGCCCCAAGAGGGCCCAAGAGGCCTCCAAGACTGCCAAAATGGCCTCCACGACGGCAATGATGGCCCCAAGATGCCTCCAAGACGGTCCCAGATGCACCCAAGATGGCCTAAGATGTCCTCAAGATTGCCCAAGACGGCCCCAGAGGCCCCCAAGAGGCCTCCAAGACGGCCCAAGAGGCGTCAAGGAGCTCTTCCAGGAAGGCACGAATAGGCCAAAATCACTGAATTCCCTGAAGCTTTTGAAAGATTTTGGCGTTTGCTTCTTCTCGGCTTCCGACGCCTCAAGACGGCACAAGAGGCCCCCAAGATCGCCCAAGAGGCCCCATGACGGCCCAAGAGGCCCCCTAAGACGGCCCCAAGATCCCCACAAAACGGCGCAAGAGGCCCCCAAGACGCCCAAGATGGCCTCTGAGAACCCCTGATATGCCCCAAGAGGGCCCCAAGACGACCCAGACAGGCCCCCAAGACGGCTTCCGACGGCGCCCAAAACCCTCAAAGAGGCCCCCAGGAAACTCCCAGGAAGCCCCAAGAGTTCCCCAAGAGGCGCCCAAGACGCCTCCTCATCCTCCTCCTCCTCTTCTTTCCTCATCCTCCCCCTCCTCCTGTTCTTGCTCCCCCACGCGTTCCCCGAAGTCTTTCGAAACCGACTCGGGGAACAACTGGCCCGATAGCTTGGCCAAGCTCTGGCCCAGCTGTCGGCCACAGAGACGCTTCCAGAGGGGCGGGGGGCGGCGGTGCTTCGCCGTAGGCGTCTTCGACCCGCCGCCCTCTGTCGCTTCATCGCAGGGGTGCCTGGCGTGCTGGATCCTGTCGGTTTTGGTTTTGGTTTTTTTTCCAAAAGAACTCCCCCTGGGGCTTCGGCGCGTCCCGCCGGCCCCCCGACAAGAACCTCAATCCCCAATGTTTCGCTCAAAATGGCCCAAGATGGCCTCCAAGATGCCTCCAAGACGGCCACGATGGCCCCCACGTCGGCTTTGGTTTTGGTTCCTTTTTCCCAAGAAGCTCCCCCGGGGCCTTCGGCCCGTCCCGCCGGCCACCCGTAAAGATTGGCCAGCGTGCCCGGAGCCGGTTGCCAGGGGGTCTCTTTCCTGCTCCAGACGCCTCCAAGACGGCCCCAAGATGGCCTCCAAGACGCCTCCAAAGACGGCCAGCATGGCCTCCAAGACGGCTCAGATGGCCCCACGATGCCTCCAAGATGGCCTAAGATTCCTCCAAGGTGAGCGTTTATGTATTCTGGGTTTCGTCATTTGGCGCAAGGGGGGGAGGGGGGGGGGGGGTACGGCTCTCGTCCCGTAGTCAATACCTCCGATTGAATCATCTTGAAATTTTCAACATAGCTTAAAATTCAACACTTGAGCCTCATGAGGCGTGAAACTGGTAAACAAACTCATTCTAACAATTACAATACAACGCAAATATTTATGAAACTTATCGATACTTTAAAATGTATTATGATATATTGTGAAATGTCTTAGTCAATATATTTCTGACGTGTAGAATCAACACATTTCTGACGTAACATTCACTTAATATATTTATCACAAGGCCGTCGGTGGCATAACAGGGGAGGGCCCAACCGGAGGCATGCTTTTTGGCGATCGGGTCCGGCGCCCCTGAGCCCTTTCGTTATGGTTCCAGAAGAATAGCAGGAAAAAGTTCGCACAGTTGCACACATCAACGATTCGAGTTTCTACGGGGGGGGGGGGGCGCCGGCCCCCGTAGTTCGTCCGATCAACTGAAGCAGGTGCCAAAATCAGCCCATAACTTCTCTACGGGGGAGGGGGGGGCGGGGGGTTCCGCCGAAAGCAAAAAAAATAAATAAAAGAACGATCACAAGACGGTCTAAGATAGCCTCAAGATGCTTCAAGACGGCCCCATGACGGCCCCCAAGAGGCCTCCAAGACGGCCCACGAGGCCCACAAGAGGTCCTCCAGGAGGGCCCGAAGAGGCCCAAATCATTGATTTGTCTTGAGTTATTGAAGGATTTGGGCATTTGCTTCTTTTCGGCCTTCCGAAGATCTCAAGACGGACCAAGGCCCCCAAGATACTCCAAAATCGCTCACGAGGCCTCCAAGATGGCCCCATGACGGCCCAAGAAGACCCCCAAAAGGCCTCAAGAGGGCCCCAGGACGGGCCAAGAGGCCTTCAAGACGCCCAAGAAGGCCTCCAAGACGGCTAAGATTGCCCCAAGATGCCTCCAAGACGGCCCAAGATGCACCCAAGACGGCCTGAGATGGCCTCCAGAAGGCCTAAGACGGCCCAAGAGGCCCCCAAGAGGCTTGCAAGACGGCCCAAGAGGTCCCCAAGAGGTCCTCCAGGAGGGCCCAAAGAGGCCAAAAGTCACTGTTGTTTCTTAAGTTTTTGAAGGATTTTGGCATTTGCTTCTTTTCGGCATCCCGACAGCTCAAGACGGGAGGCCCCCAAGATCGCCCACGAGGCCTCCAAGATGGCCCCAAGACGGCCCAAGAGGCCCCCAAGACGGCCCCAAGAGTGCCCAAGAGGCCTCCAAGACGGCCAAAATGGCCTCCAACACGGCTAAGATGGCCACAAGATAATTCCCAGACGGCCCAAGATGCACCCAAGACGGCCTAAGATGGTCTCAAGATGGCCCAAGACGGCCCACGAGGCCCAAGAGGCCCCCAAGACGGCCCAAGAGGCCCCCAAGACGGCCCCAAGAGGGCCCCAAAACGGCCCAAGAGGCCTCCAAGACGCCCAAGATGGCCTCTAAGAACCCCTGATATGCCCCAAGAGGGCCCCAAGACGACCCAGACAGGCCCCTAAGACGGCTTCCGACGGCGTCAGACAAGCCACGAACACCCTAAGACGGCCAGAGAGGCCCCCAAGAAGCCCCCAAAGGCCCCCCCAAACCCTCCAAGAGGCCCCCAGGAAACTCCCAGGAGGCCCCAAGAGTGCCCCAAGAGGCGCCCAAGACGCCTCCTCATCCTCCTCCTCCTCCTCCTCCTCTGCTTTCCTCATCCTCCCCCTCCTCCTGTTCTTGCTCCCCCACGCGTTCCCCGAAGTCTTTCCAAATCGACTCGGGGAACAACTGGCCCGATAGCTTGGCCAAGCTCTGGCCCAGCTGTCGGCCACAGCGGCGCTTCCAAAGGGGCGGGGGGCGGCGGAGATTCGCCGTAGGCGTCTTCGATCCGCTGCCCCCTGTTGGCTTGCCACAAGGGTGCCTGGCGTGCTGGATATTTCCGCTTTTGATTTTGGTTCTTCTTCCAAAGAACTCCCCCTGGGGCTTCCGCCGATCCCGCCAGGGTCCCGGAAAGACCAGGAAATCACCTCAACGACCGAAAACAATTCTCCAAGACGGCTCAAGATGGCCGCCAAGACGGCCCAAGAGCCCTCCAAGACGTCCTCCAGGAGGCCCGAAAGCTCGGAAAGCACCTGGTCCGATAGCTCGCCCGACTCGGTGTTTCCCGAAGGCTTTCGAAACCCACTCGGAACGCGTGGCCCGATAGCTTGGCCAAGCTCAAACCCAACTTTCGGCCACGCAGGCGCTTCCAGAAAGGCAGGGGGCGGCGGTGATTCGCCATAGGCGTCTTCGATAACGCCAACGTCTCAATATGCGCTGATGATTCCTATCCGCCCCCGCATGGTGTTCCCAGATGCGCCAAGGCAGCACCGAGACGCACCGACGCGTCTCTGAAATATCCCATTACGATAAAGATGGGGCTGGCGGCATGAGACGAAGCCCTTACGGATCATCACAAATTGACATGTGCATCAATGTCCCGAGTTCGATCCCGAACGAAGCGAAGCGCGTGTCAATGTTAAACATCTTCCACCCTCACAAACACGTTCAGCAAGATCAATTTGACAAAAAAACGCTTGGGAACTACAGCAATTGCTCTCCGGAGAAATTAACGGAAAACGCCGGGATGGAATGGATTACCATCGAAATCCATTGTTTTTTTTTAGGGGGGGCGGATCGCTTTGCCAAGTGTAACAAAAACCTACCACCGGTCTCTCCTTGGCGAGGTGGTCCAAGATGAGAACCTTGAGCTCCTCGATGTTGGGCTCCTCGGCCGCCTTCGCATCCGCGGTTTGGGACGCTGCTGGCTCGACTCGGCAGGAGGAGGAGGAGGAGGAGGAGGAGGAGGAGGAGGAGGAGGGGGAGGGGAAGGAGGAGGAGGAGGAGGAGGAGGAGGAGGAGTAGCAGGAGGAGGAGGAGGAGGAGGAGGGGTGGCCTAAGCCTTTCGGAGAAACCCTCCAGGCCGCTCCCGACCCGCTCTACGAAAAATCGCGACAGCCAGCTGTTCCTCAAGTTGAGCATGTGGAGGCTCAATTCCGGCCCTTGGGCCGTGAGAACAATAGACGGGTTGAAACACGGGCCTGGAAGACAGGAGCCCTCCTTCCTTCTCCTACTTCTCCTCCTCACCCTCTTCCTCCTCCGCGTCCTCCTCCTCCTAACGCTGACCCTGCACCTCCTCCTTATCGTCCTCGCCCATCCCCTCCCCCTTCCAACTGGACCCACCCTGGGGCGCGTTTTGATTATGACTCCGAGGCGAAACCTTGCCCCGCCTAAGGAGGTCCCCTCTTGCTCCCGATCCTTCTCCTGGATATTGCGCTCCTGGGCCACCACCGCTTGGGGTATGGGAGGCCAGAGGCACCATGCGACTATTTGGATTCGCAGCACGACAGGGGGGCGAGGACAAGGAGAGGAGGACGCTGACATTCCATGCTTGCGCTCTCATGATCAGCCTAAGAGCGCCAGTGAAGAAAGTGGGGAGAAGCCACATGGGAGGAGCACAAGGAGGGTGAAGAGGGAAAGGAGCGGCAGGAACGACGAAGAGGAAGACGAGGAGCAGGAGGAGGATGATAATGAAGGAGGGGAAGGGTGAGGAGCAGGAGGAGGACGAGGTGGGGGAGAGAGCTGCAAGGATGGATGCTGCGGGAGGGAGGGAGGGAGGGAGGGAGGGAGGGAAAAAGAGTGGAGGAAGCGGAGACAACCTAGAGTGCGCAGAGCAGAACTGGTTTTGCGTTGGAAAAAGCGCTGGGCGAGCACTGGGGGAACAGGGGCAAGCTGTGAGCCGAGCCCTGCTCCGTTGTTCTCCATCCTCCCCGCTCTTCTCGGGCTGGGCGAAAGGGGGGGATAGCAAAGGGGGGGGGTGAGAATCAGCTCACGTAGCCGATTTTCCCGGCGCCTCCCGGCGCCGGAAGGCGCTCATGTATCGAGGAGTGGGCCCCTCGGTGGGGCTGAAACCAGCTGCATGCAGCAGATTCCGTAACCCCCCCTTTCACTATCCCTCCTTTCGTCCGGCCCGATCTGCATCACCCTGACCCTCCAAAATGGCGTTTGACCGCATCGGGGGTGACAGACGCTCGCGCGGCTTGCCAGCTGGGGCTCCGGACCCGCCAGTGCGCACCCTGTGCCCTCGCACGCCAAGCCGCGGCACACGACGCCCTCGAGCCCAAAGCAGGCTCACCACCCTCCCGTGGAGGAGGAGGCACGGGCCGGCTGCGCGCAAGAGTGACCCTACAGGCAAGAGCGACCCTTCGTGCGCGGCTTTTTTTTTGAGGGGGGGGCCGCGGGGGGACCAGACCCTTCGTGCGCGCAGGACGCTGCCATCGCGTCGCGCTCGGCGAGCGGGGGGGGCCCCCCGTGGGCCCGCAAGCCCGAGGCCGCTCCGGCGCAGGGGCCACCCCTGCGTGTGGCCGCGGGGGGAAGGAGGGGGGGGGGGCGAGGACGGGCAGGCCGCGGGAGGAGGGGGGGCGCGGCTGCGGGGCGGCAGAGGAGGGGCACCAGCTCGGCTCCGCGGGCAGACGGGGGAGGCCACACCGGCACACGTCGGCGCGCGTCGTCGTCGCCCTGGCTGGTGGGATCCCGGGGGGCAGGAGCCTTTCCGTCGACGTACTCTTTGGGGTCCAGGCGCAGCAGCTCCTCGCAAAGAGTGAGGAGGAGCAGGAGGACAGAGGGAGAGAGCAAGGACGCAGGACCAGGAGAGCAACGCGGGACCATGTGATCTCAACGGCCCTCTGGGCGCATTGTGCTGGGGCTTCGGCTCTGGCACCAAGCATTGTCTTCCCTTCGCCTTCGTGGATGGGTTCATCCCTCCTCCTCCTGCCCCTTCCCCGGGAGTCTGGACATGGGGTCTGGCCATGGAGTAGCCCGCATTACCTAAGGTGGCTACAACATGGCCCAAGATTTCCTCCAAGAGTGAGCAATCTGGCCCAGGTTGGTCAAACGTTGCCTCTCTCTCTGGTCTCCGGCGACCGATGCGCCTCTGCAGCCCACGGATAGTCCCTAGATGGCCCAAGATGGACCCCCGAAGGGCCCCCAAGCATTCTCGAGACGATCCCAGGCCACCCGATAGAGCTCCCCGACGAGCCAGTCCTCTGGTTCTCTAAAAAGGCGGGTGCGGAATTCCTCCGCTGCTCTTTCTGGGCCGATGGCCTCAGCATGGGTGGCCCCACAAAAGCTCGAACACGCACAACAAGACACCTCCCAAGGGAGCGCCAAAAGGGCCCGAAGGAGCGGCTGCAATAATGCCTCGCACAGCTAAGCTAAACTGGACGAATCATGAGCACCAGCTCCAGAACATCGCATCGGATCGTCAAACGGCAGGTTGAATTAGCTTAGTAAAGCACATGCTGATCTACGACGAACCAAGCTCGGCTACGCTACGAACCGACTTAGAAGCCATAATGGGACATTGTTTGATGGGAGCGCAGCCTGTGCACGCTGGACTGAGCCATGCTGCGACACGCAAAGTCAAGACAAACGAAACTGAGATTGGGCAGCGCAAAGCTCGCCTGCTCCACGGTACGCGGGTCTAGACAAGTTTTCGCTAAGCTGTGTAATGCTGAACAACAACCAGTCTAAAACTTGAGGTTAACGCTGAACCAACTATACACGCAATGAAACATGCTAGAGTGAGTGCAACAAGCTACCTTACCCAAACAACGCGATACACATCTTACGCGACGCCAGGAGAGCCAGCTGCGCCAAATCATAACAACGCTGCGTCGCTCTACCGGGAGCTTGAACTATGGCCTGGTTGAGCTGGTTTTTCTTAGCCGAATTGATCCCCGTCGCTTTGTATCCCTGAAAACCCTCCACTTCCCTTCGGCCGACAGATCGCCTTATGATCGCTTCCGGACGGGGAAGTAATCGGTGCGCGACGTCTGGACATGCTTCCGATGGAAAACATTTAAAAAGCACGCATGGCGAAGGAGCTGACACTTTGCACCTGCATCATCCACGTATGACAGCCTATAGACTGCTCGCCACGTGTGCATGGCTTGCGTGCCCCGTCTTCCTGACATTGCGTCGGTGAGTACCTTGTCGCGCGCTCTAAGCGATTTCTCACTCAAGGCAAAGCCTCTGGGGCGCCTCTCTCTCATCCTTCCTGCCAATCCCTCCTCAATCCCTCAGTCAGACCCGAACCTTGGCAGCTCGCGCGCGACTTTGAGAGAAGGGCGCGCTGCGCGGGCGCAAGAGAGACACACAGGCCTCGATGTCTCTGGCGAGACGGCTGTGCGCAGGTTCCCACGGCCCCCGAACCCACTGACTGAGACAGCCTGCTAAGCTGCCATGCCTCCTCCGCCGTTGCCCCTGCTCACCGTTCCAGCGACCCGAACACGCACAACCTGCCATCGCTCGGACGTCTATTCCCCGTGCATGTCTCGGATTCGTGCGAGACTTATTGTGGCTCGACGATCCAGGCTGCTCCTCGATGGTCCTCGCCGAGGAACAAAACAGGCACGCGTCCGAGCGGTGCCGGGACGAAGCCCCGACGCAGAAAGCACGGGCGTCTGTGCATGGTGCGGTGCTCGCCGCTGCCCCTTCTGCGGGTCCCCAAAATATACCCCACCACCACCACCACCACCACCACCACCACCACCACCACCACCACCACCACCACCACCACCGCCTCCATTCCCCCTCCCTCCTCCGCCCGGCACCTCCCCTCGCCGTGCCTGGGAGAGAGGAGGGGGAAGGGGAAGTGGTGGTGGTGGTGCATCTTTGGGCCCCCGTGCTGTCCTCGTAGGAGCCGAAGAGGCCCAGGTAGGTGTCCAGGGAGGGCAGGGCGCGGCGCAGCGAGGCGGCCAGCCTCTCCCTGCGCCTGGGCGCCCAGGCGGTCGCACCGCGCCTCGCCCCTCCACCTCCGCATCTCTGGCCCCTTCCCCTTTCGACGCCCCCCTTTGTCAGCAATGAAAAGACCCCCTTTGTCCTTTGTCAGCAATGGAAGGACCCCCTTTGTCCTTTGTCAGCAATGAATAGACCCCCCTTCCCTTTTTGACGCCCCCCTTTGTCCTTTGTCAGCAATGGAAGGACCCCTAACCCTGTGGGTTGGGACCTGAGGTAGGAGGACCAACGCATGAGGGATGGGGGCTTTTTTTCTGTGCAGATGCGTCGCGCCGAACCGCCCAGACCGAACATCCCCAATGCAGAGACGGGGGCCTAAGTGAGGCCACGTCTTCACGGTGCTATGAGGGTCAGGGGTTCTTTCATTCTCGACGCCCCCCTGGTAGCGAGTCGAACAGAAAATGGGACTGGCGCGCTGTGGGAGGGCAACATCTCGCTCATGGCACCTGCTACGCAGTGGACGCATGCGAGAAGAACCTTTGCCATGAGAAACCTGGGGTCACGCTTGCCGTCGAGCTTTGAGTTTCCTGAGGTGTCCTCAGGGATTATCTGTGGGCGCCCCCTAGGGCAATCCGGGGATACGAACTACCCGCAGGCACCTGCTGGCAAGTGGTTTCTGATTGGATGCGCCACCTGTGCCCAGTCTACTGTACCGTCTCCCCATCGTTTCTGCCATAACTGACGGCGCGCCAAAAAGAGCGGCCCTCAGAAGGCAGCGGGCTTCTGAGACACGGACAGCGGCAACGCCCTGCAGCTCCGGGCGGGTGCCGCATGCGGGGCCGACGCGCCCCGAGAACGCTGGCCGTTGCAACCAAAGCGTCGCCACAAGACGGTGGAGGAGGAGGAGGAGGAGGAGAAGGAGCAGGAGGAGGAGGAGGAGGAGGAGGAGGAGGAGGAGGAGGAGGAGGGGGAGGAGAGGAGGAGGAGGAGGGGAGGAGGAGGAAGGAGGGGAGGAGGAGGGAGGGGGGGGAGGAGGAGGAGGAGGAGGAGGAGGAGGAGGAGGAGGAGGAGGAGGAGGAGGAGGAGGAGGAGGAGGAGTCTGCGCAAGGAACTGCTCAGGAAGGGATCCGAGGGCCCATCAGCAGGCGGGAGGGCGGCCGGCGGAGGGGGGCGCAGGGTGCTCGCGTTCTAGAGTGCCTCCGGAGCTTCGAAGGAGGGTGTCTTGGACGGCGAGGCGGCGCCCAAGGGGACCCCGTCTCGGCCAGACTGGGACCGCGACTGCACCCTCCGCCGAACGCCGCGAGGGTAGGGCCAACGCACACCGTACCAGGCACACGTCAAGTGCCCTCCCTTCCCCAGAAAAAGAAAGACAAGGCAACCTGGCTTCCCCCGAAGAGGAACAGCGCAGCAAAGTGCGTGCATATTCGAAGCTGCGAGCGGATCTCATGAGTCGGCGCTGACCACAACACCCAGGCGCAGCGCCAGGAGCGCCGCCAGAGGCGCAGCCAAGGAAGGCCCGACGCCGACCCAAAACATCCGCGAGAAACTCCGAAAGTTCACGCGCATGTTATTACTTTCTGCTTCTTCGATCCTCCCTAGCCGCGCACCCCCCCTGCCCTGCCGCGTTTCTGACGGCGCGGACGTGTTAGACGTGCTACGGAATAGGCAGTGACTGGCGGCACCCTCCGTTCGTGCTGCTTCTCGGCTCGTCCTGGCTGGAGCGCTCACGCTGGCACCAGCATCGGTCTTCGAGCCTCTCCGAGGGCCTCGCGTGCCCGCCGATGGCACATGATCAGAGCGAGGGGGCCGAACGGTCATTCGTTATCCCTGGGTGTTTCCGTGGTGAGGATTATGTTTGTTGCGTTGTTGGTGTGGATGTTATTGTTGATGTTGTTGTTGTTGCTGTTGTTGTTGATGGTGTTGTTGTTGGCAACAAGGACACTGGGGACCCACGGGTTTCCTAATAGTGTCTTGAGACCGATCGTTTTGAAAAAGGCTTCGCTGAACATCGCTGACTCCTGGCAAGGGGAGGGGCGATCGGTTTCGGAAGCTTCGAAAACAGTAGCGTGATCGCCCTCAGTCGCCGCCTCATGCTCTGTACCATCGGCCACCAAACACTGCTATGTCCTGTAAAATCTATAACATCCGAAAGCGAAGGGCCACCAAACACTGCTATGCTCTATAAGTTCTATAATTTCTATAATTCCTGCAACCGTTCCAGGCGGCCTCGAATGGTTGCAGGAATCGTAGAAATTATAGAACTTATAGAGCATATCAGTGTTTGGTGGCCTTTCGCTTTCGGATGTTGTAGAACTTATAGAACATAGCAGTGTTTGGTGGCCGATGCTACAGAGCATGGGGAGAAAGAGGAATGGAGAAGAGGAGTGGGGCAACGAGAGCGGTTCTTCTTGCGGAAACCCGTAGGCCCCCTTGGCCCCTGCAGAAGAAAGATGAGGTAGATCTTGGTGGTGGGGGGCGTCCATATAGCTCGCCCCCCCATGCCAAGATCTACCTCTCATGTGCCCCTGTGATGTCATTCGGTTGTCTGAGCATCGTTTCGAGTGTGGATGCTTTGGGGACCTCCTCGGCGGGAACCATCGTGGGACCTGGTGTTCGGGCTGCACATGCCCATTCGAGGTAAGGGCAAGAGGAGGAGGAGGAGGAGGAGGAGGTGGAGGAGGAGGAGGAGGAGGAGGAGGAGATCTGGATCTAATGCCCAACTCTTGGGGGTACAATGCCCAATAGTCTGGGCGCAATGCCCACTGCGTCGGGTGCAATGCCCAACTCTTTCGGGTGCAATGCCCGACCCTTCAGGAAATGCCCAAACCTTCGGGTGCAATGCCCAACTATTCCGGGTGCGATGCCCGACCCTTCGGGTGCAATGCCCAACCCTTCGGGTGCAATGCCCAATCTTTTCGGGTGCAATGCCCAACCCTTCGGGTAACTCGTCGGGTGCAAAGCCTAATATTCTGGGTACAATGCCCACTGCGTCGGGTGCAATGCCCAACCCAACTCTTCAGGTGCAGTGCCCACTGCGTCGGGCTGCACATGCCCATTCGAGGTAGGAGGAAGAGGAAGTGGAGGAGGAAGAGGAGGAGGAGGAGGAGGAGGAGGGACGGGCGAACAGTTAGTAAACGCTATTCGTAGTACCCCGCAAGGAAAACACCCATCTCGTTTGCATCATCCCTTTCCTCATCCTCCTCCTCTACCCCTTTTTTGCCCACCTCGTTCTCTTTTCGTTTTCGCGGCAGTCGCAGCGTTCTCCGCCAAGCCGAGCGCACCGCGAGCCACGCCCCGCACCACCAGGCATCGCCCGATGCCCGCCTCGATGTTCTTCCTCTGGGGCTTCGCCGCGAAGACCCAGCACCCTTTGAAGGCACTCGGCGGGTCCGCAAACGCGGACATGACCGCGCACGACGCACACTGGGCCGCCGTGTTCGACGGCGTGGGCGGCGTGCCGCCGCCCCTGCGCCCCGAGGCGCTGTCGCAGGACCTGCGGGGCTACGTCCGCCACAACTTGCGCCAGCGTTTCAAGGCCATGCGCAACAATTAAATACACAAAACAAAAAAAACAATGAACATACTAATACTATGCGTTAAAACACCAAGGTTACCACGGACCGCACGGAGTACGACCAGCAGGTCGCTGCGGCTGTCGGGTACGGCGCAGCAACGGTCAACACTTCCTCCAAGGGTGCGTGGCTGCGCCGCCTCGTGCAGATGTCGATAGGCCAAACCACCGCGTTGGGGTCCACGTGCGTCGCGGTCGCCACGGTGATCGGGCGCCAGCTAACCTACTTCAATATCGGGGACTGCGCGGTGCAGGTGTTCCGCCCCAACTCGATCTTAGGAACGTACACGAAGATATTCAACACGGACAAGCAGCACCAGCCGATGACCGATTCCAGTGGCAACAACGTGATGGGGCCGAAACAGGTCTGCATCATGAGCGAACAGGGCCGCGACCAGGCGTTGTTCTTCCAACTCGCCTCTCAGGGGGCGGCCAGCAAGGTGCACGTAATGCTTGACGGCTATGCCACCGTATCATCCGATGGCATCGGTGACAACCTCAATGACAACCACATCACCAATGTTCTCAACTACGAGGTGCGCGACCTCGAGAAAGTCGTCGGAGCGCTCATGGCACTTGCATCCCGCACGGGGGCCCCGAAGCCAGATGATATATCGGTGTACGCGGGGGTTATCGTCTAGACGCCGCGCAGTGCAAACCCACCGAGCAATGACGCAACGCAGATATTTATATATTCCTCCCTCTTCCTTTCCGTCTGCATTCTCCCTCGATCCCTCTCCCTCCCTCCCTCGCCCGCCCCGTTCGCGATGTATTATTTTCCGTTGCGTTTGCGCATGACGAACCATACTGTGAATAGACATGGCGCGTCTTCTGCCAGGAGCCCAATGAAACAAGCGTGCTTCATGAAAAAACACACTGTTCGCGCCGTGAACCCTGACTTGCGCACGCACGTCATGTCGTGGCAGTGGAGGCAGAACGTGGCGTGCACGGGCGCCGCGCTGTGGGAGAGCCCAGCCTGGTGAGGACGTCTTAAGTAGCTGCGCGCAGGCCCGCTTTGGGCCGAGCGCCGCCTAGAGCTCAGTAACTAGTTTTGCTGCGCGGGCGGGATCGCCGCTACAGGGGGGCGATAGCGGCGGGGGCGCGCTGCGCCCCGCGCGGCCGAGCGCTTGATCACAAAGATTGCCTGAAACGCTTGGGTTCAAATCTCCGTGGGTCCCCAGGGTCCTTGTTCCCTTGTTGTTGTTGTTGTTGTTGTTGTTGTTGTTGTTGTCGTTGTTACTGTTTTCCTCGATTTTTACTCAGGACCCCCGCTCCCGCCTGAGACTTCCGCGCAATTTACTCAGGAAAGGCGCTCCCGTCTGAGACTTCCTCGCAATGTAATCAAGACCCCCGCTCCCGCCTGAGACTTCCGTGCAATTTACGTGGGAACGGCGCTCCCGCCTGAGACTTCTTCGAATTTTACTCAGGACCCCCGCTCCTGCCTGACATTTCCGCGCAATTGACTCAGGAACGGCGCTCCCGCCTGAGACTTCCTCGCAATTTAGTGAGGACCCCCGCTCCCGCCTGAGACTTCCGTGCAATTTGCTCAGGAACGGCGCTCCCGCTTGAGACTTCCTCGCAACTTAGTCAGGGCCCCCGCTTCCGCCTGAGATTTCCTCACAATGTACTCAGGACTGCGCTCTCGCGTGCGACGTCCTCACAAATTATTCTGGAATTGCGTTTCGGCGCTCAGGAACCACGCACGCGCCAAGGACGCCTTCACAACGTGGTATCTTCCCTCTTCCTTCGTCCTTCCCCCTCCCCTTCCTCCCGCTCTCCCTCGTTCTTCCCCTTCTCCTCTTGCAGGGCCCGCGCCAATTCCAATGGCGGGCAGAGAGACGTACGCCCCCGAAGGATTGTCCGCCCGTTCCGGTTTGCCCGTACGTCTAAGCCCGCCAGCCCCAGCAAAGAGAAATAATCCCCCCGAAAGGGGTTGTGATCGAAGACGAAGAGGGCGGGCATCGAGGGTGTAGGGTATACGTGTTGAATGACTCGCGGGCAAGTAAGAGCGTACAGCCTTAAAGTGGTTGTTGTTGTTGTGGTTGTTGTTGTGGTTGTTGTTGTTGTTGTTGTTGTTGTTGTTGTTGTTGTTTGTTGTCGTCCCCCCCGCGACCCACCCCGCGACCCACCCGCGACCCAGCCCGCGACACACCCCGCGACCCAGCCCGCGACCCAAGCCCGCGACCCACCCGCGACACACCCGCGACTCACCCCGTGACCCGCCCGCGACCCACCTGCGACCCACCCTGCGACCCACCCCGCGACCCGCCCGCGAACCACCCCGCGACCCAGCCCGCGACCCAGCCCGCGACCCAGCCCGCGACCCAGCCCGCGACCCACCCGCGACCCACCCGCGACCTACCCCGCGACCCACCCGCGACCCACCCGCGACCCATACGCGACCCACCTGCGACCCACCCGCGACCCGGCCCGCGACCCACCCGCGACCCACCCCGCGATCCACCCACATTCCTTTAACGAAAAAATCGGCGCCTGCGGCGGGCTCAATGCATAATGTGTATAAAAGTTAGGTGCCTGCGGCGGGCTTCTTCAGATCCTCGCACCGCCTGGTTCGGCCAGGAGGGCGTATGCACAGCTCACTTGACGAACGAGCAACACACACACACCCATACCCATAGGGGGGTCGTTGGGAGGAGGACTGGCTATGGGTAAGGGTGCGGGTTGTCGGACCCTGGGGAACGCTCCCTTTCGAGCGGGGACCCCCATCCGACAATACGCACCCATAGCCCTCTCCGACCCCTCTATGGGTATGGGTGCGTGTTGTTGGTGCGTCATCACTGGCCCAGGAAAGGCCCAGCCAGGGGGCAGTGCACACGTGTCAATTCCGCCGCCCGAGACCAGGCACGCGCCAAGAGGCCAGCGCAACTCCTACGCACCCCTCGTCCACGAGCGCGCCCGACCCTCGCGGTCGTGGCATTCGACCGCGCGAGCGGGCCGGACTCAACAGGAAGTCCTCATCCTCCTCCTCCTCCTCCTCCTCCTCGTCCTCCTCCTCCTCCTCCTCGTCCTCCTCTTCCTCCTTCTCCTCCTCCTCCTCATTCCTCTCCTCCTCCTCCTCCTCAAACTCGTCCTTGCCACCCCATATCAGCGAATTACTGCGAATTCCTCAACCTCGTCCTCGTGGCAGGGCCTTAGGCTTCGCACGGACGGCGCTCGGAGGTGGTCGAGGCCGGCCACAGCGGCTCTCCGACATGGCATTCCGACGCGGGTCTCCGCACCCCCTCCTGGCGCCGCCTCTGGCGCCGCCTTGCCCTGGGGTTGGGGGTGTTGCCGATCGAAGCTGCCCCTACAAGCCTGCCGAGGCAAGCCTGGGCAACGTCCACGGGCTGCCTGTGCGCAGCCCCACGTCTTGCTCCTCCTTCTTTTTCTTCTCCTCCTCCTCTTCATCCTGCTCCTCCTCATCCTGCTTTTCCTCCTGCTCCTCCTCCTCCTCCTCCTCCTCCTCCTCCTCCTCCTCCTCCTCCTCCTCTTACTCGTCCTCCTCCTCCTCCTCCTCCGCCTCCTCCTCCTCCTACTCCTCCTGCTCCTCCTCATCGTGACGGTTGCAACCCCGACCGGTGACTGTGCGGTCGGCAGGCGCCATAAGCCCCCCGCGCTTGGACCCAGTCCTCCGTCGCGTCGACGCAGCCGAGCACCTGCTTGTGCACCACCGTGCGGAAGAGCTGCGGCACGATGGAGGACTCCAGCTGCGGCACGTCGCAAAGGGCCTGCAGGCCCATGTCCAGCACCTCCCGGGCGGACGCTTGCCCACGGATCGGCGAAAGGCGGCTTGCTGCAGCGGGCTTGTACGGCCTCAGCAGGCTCTGCTGGGGCGACGATCGTCGGCTACACGCAGTGACCCTGGACAAGAGTGACCGTTGGTGCGCGGCTTAACGGGGGACACGGGGTGGCCAAACCTGAGCGCGCAAGCCGCTGCCACGACTTCGCGCCCAGCGATCGGAGGACATCACTGGGCCCGCACCAAAGGTTATTCCGGCGAAAGGCCACTTCTACGTCTAGTCGAGATCAGGAGCAGCTCCTTCCAATCGCATGGGGCCCCGGTGTCTCCAACCGCCCTTCTTCGAGGAGAAGCTCTGGAGCACACGCGCGCGGGCGGGCTCGCGAGGCGGGGCGCGCGGAGGCCCCGCGCCGATCACGCACGCCTTCTTGGAGGGCCGCCGCGCCCCCGCCGGCACGGGCGTCGAGCGCCGCAAGACGCGCGCGGCCCCACGCGACGGACGGCGGGGAGGACGGGCGGACGCCACCTCGGCAGAGCTGTCCCGTGGAAAGCGGCGGGCGCGCCGCCGCGCGCGAGCGACGAGGCAACATCCCATGATACCCGCGCGTCGTGACCACGACGGGCGAAGGCTTCGCCGCTCTCGAGCCCCAAGGGGGGTCCCTGACCTGGCCCTGGGACTGTCGGAAAATGAAGAGGAGGAGGAGGAGGAGGAGGAGGAGGAGGAGGAGGAGGAGGAGGAGGAGGAGGAGGAGGGAGGAGGAGGAGGAGGAGGAAGAGGAGGAGGAGGAGAAACTGGCACCTGGGAAAACGTAGAGCTGTCGGGGGCCGGGGGGTCGACGAATCCTCCACGCGACGGCAAGGCGCCAATGCGCGGCAGCCTGCGCGAGCCGCCCGCGCGGCACACCGCGTGCGCGCACAGGCGCGGCGCTCCGCGGCCAGCTGGCGCGCGGACGCCCGCGCAGCCGTCGCGTCGCTCAAAGTGCACGCGTCTGGCGTTGCTCATTGGGGGGCAATGACTGGCCATCGCTCGGACGTCCATTCCCTTTGTTTTTGTTCGGTTTCGTGCGTGGTTGTTTCGCAGGATGATCTACGATGCTCCTTAATAATCCCCGCGGAGAAAAAGTGAACACGTCCGAGCGATACCAAGTTGAAGGTGATGGGGGAGGAGAATCGGGGATCTGCTGGCCCGGGTCAAACCAGACGCGGGTCAGTCAGGCCTTGCAGAAGCCCGCGAGATCCTGCACCCAAGCCCGGGTCAGCGCGAAGGATCCTGCAAGAGCCTACGGGATCCTGCGCCCGAGCCCGGGCCAGTGCGCCCCTGGCCCCGCAGGATCCTGCAGGCCCGAGCGCTCCGGCTGACCCCCGTTTGCATCGACCCCCGCCTCAAAGGGCTCCCGAGAAGTGCACAATAATCCGAGCACCCCGGAGGCCCCGAGGGGGCCCTCGCCTGCGACCCCGGCTTCCCCCCCCCGATCGGCTCCCCCGCTGCGCACCGCCCAAAAATGCGGACAGTCGCCGCGGGCTGGCCGCGCGCGCTCGCCGCGGGCCTCCCGGCGGCGGAGGGGGGCAGGAAGACCTGCGCAGGCGGGGCGGCGCTCCCCGACATGGGCGCGCTCACTGGACGCGAGGTCTCCCGGACCCCCCCCCCCAGGAAAAAGAGAGCCAGGAGCACTCCCAAACCTGGGTCTGAGATCCCTCTCCGTCGAGAACATCGAGAGCTGGAGAGGGAGGGCGGAGGAGGAGTCCCGCCAGGCTGCTGGATCTTTCTCGAGGGGGAATCTGGGATCCGCCCCGATCCCACACAACTCGGTTCTCCTAGATCGCAGGTAGGTGGTAAAGGGCAAGAAGGAATAATCGGGGGAGGAGGACACGAAGGAAGGAACCATACCGGGAAGGACAGAGGCAGGGAGTGAAGAGGGAGGGGAAGTGAGCCAGGGGGGGGGCATCCAGGAGGACGTGGAGGAAGGCGAGGAGCAGGAGGATGAGACCGAGGAGGAATAAGAATATGGGGAGGAAGAGGGAGGCGGAGAAGGACGAAAAGGAAGAAGGAAGAAGAGAAGGATGCCGACGAGAAGGAGGAGGAGGAGGAGGAAGGATACCAGAGAGAAGGATAAAGCTTGTCTTCCATCGACATGCACTTCACCTCTGGTCAGGCCAAACCAGCGCCACCACCGCGAAGTCCACGAGGAAAAACACGAAGACCCCAAGAAGACCGCACTGCACCCAACCTTCATCAATTCCGCCAGTCGAAGGCCGCGCAAACGCACCACCAGCAAGCCACGGCGGCGCGCAGGACGCACTGATCCCGAGAAAATCCCGAGAAACCAACACAAATATGACGTAGTGCGGTGCGGCACACGACCACAAAGAAACAGCCGGTACACCCAAGCCGATCACCACCGAGCAGCAACATAGCAATCGTGGACAAGATGCCAGTCCAAACGCCAAATATGAAATGCGGGGCAAACAACTGTACTGTACCATGCGGAGATAGGGGCGCGGAGGTATAACATCACCAAGGAGAGAGATGCGACAATACCAAAGACCAAAGACACCTTGCAAATGGTAGAGATGTAACGCAAGCGTGAAAACCCTCGCCGTCGCCCCAGCAGCCCTTGTGCCGCAAGTCCCTCGCGGGGCATCCCATCGCGACAATAGCCGTTGAGAAAGACGGGCTGCATCGCATACCACGACGCCACCACAGACGAGGAATGATACGCACGCCGCCGTAGCATACCCCAGCGTTCACCTCTGAGAAACGTCGTTAGGAAGACTAAGAATAATAGCACAACTAAGAAGAATCCGAATACGAAACACAATAAGACAGTAAAGCATGATAATACTAAAAAGAATAATACGAACAAGACAAGAAATATAGGACGAAAAAGAAGAAGCCCAGCACCAGCCCTCAAGCCAGCACAAGTGTGGTACAGCTCCGGGGCATCTCGGAGCAGACCACGAGCTCGCTTAAGCCAAAGCTGGGCTGAGGCGAGACGGAACTCGAGGGGGGGGAGGGAGACGGGCAGGAGGAGCAGGAAAACGAAGAGGAGAGGAGGAGGAAGAAGGATAAAGAGTAGGATGAGGATAAAAAGAGGATGAGGACAAAGAGAGGAGGAGGAGGAGGAGGAGGAGGAGGAGGAGGAGGAGGAGGAGGGGAGGAGGAGGAGGAGGACGAGGGGGAGGAGGATGAAGAGGAGGAGGAGGATTTTGCCTGGGCGTGGGCCGGAGTCGAGCGCTGGCTCCCGTAATTAGCGCCCACGGCAGCGCGGAGGGAACCGAGTGAGAGGGCCCGAAGAGACGAAAAGCGAGCAAAGGGCCACGAGAGACCGACCGCGGAGCGCGGAGGGGGCCGCCGAGGCAGGACACGGGGCACTTTTTTGTACGAGCGCGGGAGGGCTCAGTGGCACAGAGGAGGAGGAGGAGGGGGAGGCAGGGAGGGAGGAGGGAAGGAGGGAGGGGAGGGAGGGAGGGAGAGAGGGGGAGGAGGGAGGAGGGGGAGGGGGGGAGGGAGGAGGAGGGGGAGGGGGGGAGGAGGGAGGGAGGAGGGGAGGGGGAGGAGGAGGGAGGGAGGGAGGGAGGGAGGGCGAGGAGGGAGGAGGGGGAGGGAGGAGGGAGGGAGGAGGGGGAGGGGGGAGGGGAGGAAAGGAAGGGGGAGGAGGGGGAGGAGGGCGGGAGGGAGGGAGGGTGGGGGAGGAGCGCGCCCCGGCCCGCCCCCCGGCGAATACGCCCGACAATCTGGCGCGCAGTCGCCGAACCAGCGAGGGGACAACGCACGCAAGAGCATAAAGTCATGCTTGGTTTTGGGTCGGGCATGTCCCCCTGCAGGCGGGTCTTGGACGAAACCGAAGAATACCCGAAACATGGTCAAACATGTTCGAATAAAAAATATAAACATCGTCCCCACTCTATTTTTTGACTACTTTTGCATGTTCCTCTTGTAGGTGGACATGCACGACTTAAGCTTAACTCAGGCAGCGGAAACAACCGCATCAAATCGGAAACAACCGCATCAAATCCTCATCCTCATCCTCATACCCCCAACCCCCACCCATTACCGGAGGCAGGCAGCAGGG